TCCAGGAGAACAGTTGGTGCGTGGGAAGTTGACAGTTAAAGTTGTTGTTAGGACGCAGGAGGATGCCTACATTGGCGAAACCAAATACACCTACAACTCTAACCTGCTGAGGCAGTTTGAACAGTGCGTCAAAGCCTTAGATGACGAAGATATGGAGCTTGACTGTACTGGTTCCCCGGTTGAAAACCACGTTACCATGAGCCTCAGAGGTACGTTCACTGAGTTAGCCTTTTAATCCCTAAAATCTGACTCATTTGCATTTATCCCTTCTGGTCGATTAACATATATAGCCTGTGTGATGACGTGCTGGCCTAGCTGCGCGTGTTTTCTTCGTCATAATCAAACATTTTCCCCTCCGGCCCGGCCTAACTCAGCCAGTAGGTCTAGATAACAGTAGATATGTCACGAATTTAAGAAAATATATGTCATTAAAGCCTATTGATTGAATTTCAGAAAGGATATGACATTTTTTAAAAACATGTTTCGACATGCTGATTGGACAAAACAAACAATAAAAACAGAACAATGTGAGCAAATTACACTTTAAATTCAACTTTGTACTTTGTATAAATCAGAACTGAAGATGACAGAAGAACTGTCGAAACATGTTTTTAAAAAATGTCATATATTTTCTGGAATTCAGTCAATAGGCTTTTTATTATGTGACCGTCGCTCTTTCATTTTCAACTCGCATTCCCATAGGGCCGTGCGGCTTTTTCCGGTCCTGCCTGGAATATGTATATTGTAGATCACAAAATTGCGAATAAATCTGTGATAAGCTCACCTTATCCCTGATTTTATGCTCCTGATAAACTCCTAAAAAGCTACGAATTTCATTTCCAGAACGAGGTTTTGCCACTGATCACCAGTTCAACTTCGCTACCCTGAGAGTGCTGGTCTTTGTTGCGGTGAAGGAGAAAGCCTATAACGTCTTGCTAGCAGTCTTGAAGTGCCCTGTTATTTCGCAAGTATTTCAGCGTCATGCACACAAATTACTGCCATTCCTGGAACAAGTGCAGAAAAGAGAGAGACAAACTGACAGAAGTGTGTTGGTCCTTGAAATGAGCAGAAAGTGAGTGTGAATGAGCACGTAGACTCAGGCTTAGTCTGTTCTAGGCATTCAGGTTGGGGGTACAAGCGAAGAAGTAGGGCGATTGATGGAATAAATGGATCATTGTCAATATCTGCGCACCCACATATTCCTCCCCTAACCCGACAGCAGTCAACTGATATAAAGCCAGGGTTAATGTTGAGTTAAGAGAGGGGTAGGTGTGCAGTTGATCAGATTCTGGCATTTGATCGGAATAAAAGTATGGGGCGGCGGAACGGGAGATTAACAAAACCTGATCAAGCACTCTTTCGCTCGTGTGCATTACCCTACCCAAGCTCGAACTTGAAACCCCCTTCCCCGCTTCAAGAGAATTTTCAGTTAGTTCGAGTCAGCAGGGTTCCATTGTATTGGACTAAAGGTTCAGCGTTTTATTGGTGTCGCCCTCTGAGTTGTATCCACCTTGACCCTCATTACTTTGAGACGAACCTGAAACGCTTATTTGATCGAGAACAAAAGCTTTCCTAATTGATACTGAAGTGCGATTGATACACGATGCCTTAGTGTCCCTCATATGATAATGGATTGTTCTTTTTGTTGATCCTAGGCTTTTATTGGAATGCAATGGCAGCAACGAGTCTCTAAAGCAATGTAAGTTGTTACCAAGTGCAAATTGTTCATTCGTGAAATGCTTGCCTCCGTTAGGAGGCAAGATATAGCTACTTTCTGATAGGTCGTAGTCTCTTTCGCATGATATATTAACCCTTGACCCTGAGAGTGATGACCATCACGGCTAATTTCTCCTAACAATATCAGCCTTAAATCAAACATATAGTTCATGAGAACAAAGAAAATGATCGCAAGGTCAAGATGCTCTTGCCGTGTGATTATTTGGCAAATGCCTCTTGTAAGTACCATAGGAAATGTATGGAGAACATACCAAACTGATGTTGGGGTGTAAAGGGTTTAAACTAGTTCATATCAAGTTTCAGTTGTAAATCATATTGTTAATGTTAATTTGTTTGTAGCTTTGACTTCGATTTGATTTCAAACTTCCACAGTTTGTCGGTAAATTTCCTTTTCCAGACGAAAAATCCACTCGAATTGAGACCTCCGTCAAATTTAAGACTTAGCGCTTTACTCTGATGCTTTTTGTCTTGTTAAGTGAACATCTTGCGGCTAATCATTATAATTGTATTTGGAATTGCAGTCAAGGAAAACGCACGAGAGACGACGGACAAGTTAATTGAAAATGGCTATGAGGGGGGCTCAGAACTAGAAACCCAAGAAGTGGAAGTGTCATTTCATGATTGGAATGAGTCGTCTTCATCCTTGAAGCGTAAAGAAGAAAAGACGGAGAACGGTAAAAGGTTTGAAACAAGAGAGATTTTCCGTGACGAGGAGAACACAAGTCATACTGAAGTGAGAGACACCCCCGTCCATTTAACATGCAGTCTTTCCACAGAGGAAGATGCAACAATACAGAGCAAGGATGAGAGAAAACAAGACAACGAAGAGATCTCTAAGCCAAAGATTTTTGTTCTTCGGAAGCCATGTTCCCCCGTCCCAATAAGCAGAAGTCGCTCTAGTTTCCCAGATCCCCGAACGGACATTTTTATTGAGTTGCAAGTCCGTAATGACCAAAGGACCTCTGAATACAGCGATAACCAAGATGGCACTCCTGACAACGTGACAGAGCACGTGATCGTTAATAAACAACTCGTGACAGAACACGTGTCAAACACGAAACACCACGTGACTGTGGATGTGAAGCACAACGGTACTAAACAGACTGCGAGAGACTGGGAGGCAAAGTATGTAAAACGTGTCAGCGGCAAGCTGGGGTACTGGTTTCGATTTTACGAACCAAGTTGTGAGCTATTGCTGATGTTTACACTTTACGACAAGCCTCATCCTACCAAGTCAGAGACGAAGTTGAAAGAAGCAGTCCTGGACTACGTTACTATTGAGGTCGAGACGATCAGTTGGAAGTTACATTCTTCAAGGGAGACCAGAGGAGAGAAGGAACACGATAAACGCGAGCTTGCACTTACTCGACAGGTTCCCCTTGTGGCCGTATCGCCCTCACAGACCAAGGTGTGCATCATTATGAACGAGCTGCATGAATTATGCGACAATGGAGAATGGGTGAAGTTTGAAGAAGCATGCGAGATGCACCAACATTCGAGCAATTCTGATGTCAAGGTTGCAGTTTTGCTGGAGAAAGCCATTACATTTTTGTACCACCGGGATCTGGAAAAAGCGGAGGCGACAGCTTTGGAGGCTCTCAGGATTGTTTCCGAAGCTGACAATCACCAACTCCTCATAGGACGAGCTTACTACTACCTTGCGCATGTCTACCGCCGGCAGAAAAAACTTGGGGAAGCGGTGCGGTGCATTGACTTGTCCAAGCAGAATCTTCACCTGATCGATGTCTGCCTTGACCAAAGTTTCATGGCCTACGAAGAAGGAAATGTCATGAAGGAGTTCATCTCTAGTGGAAGCATTTTGAAGAAGAAGCTTCTTCTTCAAGCTAAGCACTGCTTTGAGCGTTGTCTTGATCTCAGTCGGCGGGTGGATGACAGCAGCAACCGGGTGATTCCTCACACGCACAGTTTCGCCCTCATCAAGATGGCCATGCTTCTTCTCGATTGCGGGAGCACCTCAGGACGAGAGCGGCGTGTGAGCAAGGAGCACGTCATGGAAGCGTCAAAGTTCCTTACTCTTTTGCAAAATAATGGCCTGGATGACATAACCGAGAGAAGAAAACTCCAGTTCCTTTTGGCGCGCTCGGATCTCGACTACCGGCTTTCTAACTACCAGGCAGCAGCAAGTAGTGCCCATCAAGCTTTGGAGATGGCGCAGGAGTACGGCTTCCTACTGGAGGAGATGCCAGCCCGAGACCGAATCTACCACAACCGTCAGTTACTTGAAAAGGGAGGAGCTTACGCTTGTCCAGAAATTTAAGCTGACGTTAAAAATTGAATCAAATAATTGTTATTTTCCTGGTTTTACTAAGACGTGTTGCTATAAAGCAGAACAAAATTAATAACCAAAGGCTCTAAATTATTCCTATTAACCCTTTAACTCCCAGAAGTGATTCACATGAAATTTCTCCTTACATACTCATACATCATCCAGCAAACAAGTTATGAGAATACTCTAACGTATCAGGTAGAAGTTTATGTCCTGATCGAACACCAAATTCTTTTATTTTATTTCCAAGGAAACGAGTAGCAGCTAGAGGAGAGAATTAACAATCAGATCTTGGGAGTTAAAGGTTTAATAGTTTAGGTAATCTGAGCAGCTCCTGGCTGAGTTTGGAAATGGGGGATAAAAAGACGGAAGTAAACTTCCTACCCTTCCCTCCACTGTAAAATATCTTAAATTGGATAATGAATTCGGAATTGTTTTCCTTTATCCGCGGCAGATTACTTAAAGTAAAAGTCGCAATGTAAAATGGTTTGAGCACAATATGTTTCTATTTTAACCGGAAACATGTACATCAAAGACTACTCCAATTGTAACTAACAATAAATGTATCTTAATTTGATTAAGATCAATTTAATGATTAAAATAATATGTTGGATACGTTACTGTTTCTCCACGAGGTAGTTCTCCCAACTGAATACTGGGAATTTTGTTTTTGGCTTGTCCTAATATTTTGATGCTTATCAATTTTTATCATTTTTCCTTTTTTACCTTTTTATTGTAATTTTTATTTAAATTTTTATTTAAATTTTTTAGTGCATGTAAATGCAAAAGTCGGTGTGTGGGTGTGAATATGTGAGTGGAATTTTTCAAAAACGAGAAGAAGGAAAAAAAAAATTCGGAATCATCGTAACCATTCATATGTAAAAGGAAAGGGAATATTTAAAATAACAATAAGCCATTTTACTATTATAAATAACGCTAGCATCAAAGCAATATCTATCCTCTCTTGCATTAAAGATAAAGAGTATGGAAGCGATCTTTACAATAATGAACTCTACTTAGGCGGTAGTGAAAATACTACCGCTTAAGTAGTGTTTATTATACGAGGATCTATTCCATATTCATTTCTTCATCCGCAGTTCACATACATGATTTTCACATAATTTCAGTCATTTATTAAAGATAATGTTAGTATTTTGTGAAATATTAGTGTTACCAATATGTCAATATTGCTAGTAACGCCAGTATCGTTAACAATGTCGGTTTTGTATTTTGTAGCTAGTGTATAGTTAATTAAAAACTTATGAAATTAAAACAAATTCAATGCAATAATGGATAATGTTTATATTCTCATCACCGCTGTGCCGAGCCGTGGGCTCTAAACTTAAAGGAATTTACACGTTGATCAGTCCTAGAATTGTTTAAGGTTAAAGTAAGCTGACGTCACCGCTAATCTATTTAGGATGAAAAAAAAGACAACAACAACAAGCTTTTAAAGCTCGTCATTTGAAATAGTTCGCTCTCATTTTAATTTAGGAAAAGCAGTGACTTAATACATACTCGTAACAATGCTAAAAGAATGAAACGCTCATACTCAGCCAGCCTTAGAAGCTTGGTCGTGATCGGTTTCATCTTTCCTTATATCTGTTAGTTAGCCGTCTCCTCCACAGTTCGTTATCAATTAGTTTTTCATCCCAAGGCAGTCAACTTACATGAAGTATGAAGAAACTTACGAAGATTCTAAAAGTAGATATCTGTCCGTCAACTCATTCCACACTCGCAGGGCAGATACTTCCGGTTCGCCGAATGTGACTCAATATTCGGTATCAGTATGTGTTAGGCAATTAATGGATGAGGTTAAGCATAATATTATGAATTAACAATGCCGAGGTCTGAGTTATCTGCCGATGCCGAATGCTGAGGCAGAGAACAAAGACACAAAGTTTGATAATCACCACATCATGCGAAATTGATAGAAGAATGTCTCACCGTGGTAACTACATTGGCCAAAAGACACTGTCTATAATGATGTTGACACTTTCAAAATGACACATGTTAAATAGGGAGAGTGCTCCGAGTGATCACATGGCGATGATTGGGAAACTATCTTCCGTCCCGAACCTCACGATGCGCAAACCAAAAGGAAAAGTTCCGCAGTCCAAACGAGTAGCTTCTTGTCCCCCATCTCCCCTCTCCCCTCAGTATTTTTCGACTTACTCTTTTGTCAAGGGGACCACGCTGCTTTTCCTAATGGCCTTTTAACATTAGCAAGTCAAATAAGGGTAATACAATAAAACAAAAAGGTTAACTACTTAAAGAATTGAGCGATTTTTTGTTAGACGACCGCATAAAATAAAGAGCTTTCGTGGCAACGTGATCATAATTAGAAAAAATTTCGAATCCTCTATAAATAGTGCAGCTTTGTGTGGGTATTATTGAATTTCAATCTCTCTACGACAATAGTAAGAGGTGCAACTTGTTATGCACCTCCTGCATATTTTCCGCGTCGTCTGATGATAAGTTTCCTAGATTGTGTTCCAAACATTTCAGTTGCTAACACGTTTCAGGGAACGAGGTGAGTTAGTCCACTGTCTTTTTTTTCAATATTTCACCGTTCTTAAGCCTTAGGCAACTACTCTAAAACAGGTGGAGATCCAGTGGGGTTTAATTTTTCTTGTGGGTGACATCACCGGGCCTCGTGAAGATCTTTGTGTGGGTGTTATTATCGTTTCGCGGTCTCGAAAACTCTCGATTTTTGTATTTATTCTTCCTCAACGACTGTGTGGTAAAAATTATATACATACATACATTACATATATATATATATGAACTAGAACCACACATGGTAACTGTGAAACGAAGACGCAATGAATTTCTATGCATTTTTGTTATTTTGCGACCGGAAATATATCACGCATAATTCCCTTAGTTACTTGGCAAAAATGAAAGATTTAAGAGCCCGATCACCCAAATGAATTAATATTTGGCTACTAGACGCATTTGCAAAGTTCTCAGGATTGATGAACAGAAACGACGAGAAATGTGTTATGTTATATTGGGTTAGTGTTTGAAACGCATAACCTTAACAAGCCTCACACGTTGCGTGCATAATATAACGTTGTAAACAATAAAAACATTTCTATTCTATGAATCGACTTTGCAAAACATTATGTATTTATTCAAGATAAGCTAAGGGCGGTCATTCGAGCTTTAATTGTAAATTTCTCCGCATTGTTGTCGCTGTTTGCCAACGACCGAGTACAGTGACGGTGATCGACTGCCAAATGGTGAGTATTTATAACTGGCTTAAACTGCAAAACTAAGAAACCAAAAAGATAGAATGATTAAGTAGAAGATTGGTATCATTTCGTAAAACGTTGCTCGGGGTCATTTCCAAGTTATCGATGTTGCATCGCATACGTTGTTATTACCTATCGAAAGTGCAACCATTAACTACAATTGTAACCAACCGACTTCAATTTAAAGCCCTATCTAATCCAAAATTGATCTACTCGGCTGATTCAGTTTATTTAAAACCCCTAGTCCAATTTTCGGCTTACTTGAATCAAAATTTTTTGGGTGAACCACTATAAACTATTTCATGTCTTTTAGAGCACGAGACGAACTTAGTATCATTTTATCATCATCATCTAGTTGTTATCGTTACCGCGCAATTTCAGGTATGCGGAAACTTTCGAAACCGAAGGAAAAGACTGTCGTGCACATTAGCAAAGGCGATGAAAAGTGTCCACTCAGAAAAACAAAAAACAAAAACAAAAAACAGAAAATAAAAGTAAAGGGAAAGTTAAAAAATAATCGAAGTTACCGTAATTACTCGATTAAACGCCGCAGTTTAGAGCAGAAATATTAATAAACGCCCCCCTCGAATAAACGCCGCATTATGATGCGGCGTTTATTCGAACAATAGACTAAAAAAACACATAGCGATAAATGCTTCGATCGCAGTTGGAAATTTTGGGTGAGCCAGATACAAATCCTTGTGAATTTACCAGTTCTGATGTCGAGAAAACATATCCGACATTAGATCTTTATTAACTTTATGTATTGCAGTAGCATTAACATGCAAATTGTGAAATCGAGAACGATATAGAAAATTACTTTTTAGACAAACACTAAGACATTTTTTTCTAAATTCAGATGGTCAGTTGCCATATTATTGTTTGCAAGAAATAAATTGGATTTTAAATGAACGCCGTCCTCGTATAAACGCCGCCCTTGAATGTTTATTGCACTCGAATCGCGAAAAATTTGATAAATGCCGCGGCGTTTAATCGAATCACTCCGAGGAGTGACTGGTGTCTAATGTTACGAGAATGTATATAAAAAAAATGATTGTTAAACAAATTCTCCTGGTCAGCACCATAAGAAATGTATAGAAACAGTATGAAGAATATTCAACATGATCATTAGGCAATAAAGGTTAAACCTCGCCACTCGACTTTAAAACTGAAAACAATTATTTCATATCTCTTTCGTAACGCTTTGAAAGTGCCAAGAAACGGAAGACGCCTTGATTTTTTTCTCTCTTGTAAGGGCTTAAATTTTCTACTCACTACGTTAAGAGACTGATAATCTGACATCCAGATTCAAACACACGATGAGCTACCTGTTAGACAATGAAGTGATATTGTAAGGAGAAGGTAAAACTGCCCCCCCCCCAAAAAAAAAAAAAAAAAAAAAAAAAACATGCTTACACTGTGTTTCAAGGAAAAAAAGTAATTAGGCACGAGATACTAACCGCAAGCACCAAAGGTTAAGATTTGCGGTTTCTTTTTAACTCTGTTTTTATCATTATTATTGTGATTTTTTTTACACGACTAATCTAGTCACGTCTGTCTGAGTCATCCCGCAAATAAAGGGCTGCGTGGTGTATTTAGCAACAGACCGCACCTTCTTGCAGGTTACCACAATAATAACCCACGCAGGATATTGAAAGAACACGAGAGAAGTTTGTATATCACGAGCCTCCGGCTCGTGATTAACGAACTTATCGAGTGGTTTACTAAGCCAATAAAGCTATAAATAGCGCGGTCTACCGCTTTTATAAAATAAACTTAACATGGGTTTACTGATGAAATAAACGTAGGTTTTTGACCGATTAGGGTGCTTGTAGTATTTCAGTAAATTTTTTCACGTGTACTATATTCCTAAGTGGCTGTAAAGTAAAACGTGATGAAAAATGATCTAATAGTCGGCGGTAAGCACATTTACGGTAAGCAGGAATCCACGTATGTGCATCTATTTCAGTTTCCTTAATATTGATATTAAATATTCGTTTTGATTATTTGGAACTCAATGTGATATTTAGCCCATGCATATCTTAAGGATATATAAAGATAGTATTGTTTATTTGGTTAAGCCTTGGAACTTTGCCAGCCTCCAGAAAAAGCTTATTTTATTCTAAGTACTTTTGTTTTTGCGTTTTCGGGGTGAATAAAATTCGGCGCGAGGCGATTGCTGGGAGTTACCCTAACAAGATGAGAAATGACATGACAGATAGCTTCCGACGGCGTGACCTGTAGCGTCTCTGAACGTGACCGCTCAACCACGTGACGGTGTATTTTCTGTTTACATTACCGTCGCTAGCCATTCTTAATATATTCGCAAGAACCGTCAATGTTTATATTTAACACTTGCGAGGATTCAAATGTAAATCTTCTTTACCAGCGACACCCATGAACAAAAAGAGACGAGAAACATTCGCCACCAATCTTAGTACTAAAAACTCTAAAGGTAAGGAAATTTTTTCTTAAATGCTAAATTGCAAAGCTGCTTTTCTATTGTGGCGAATTTGATAGCGTCATAACCAAACTACCTCGGAAATCATTCGCTTTGCGAAATTCGTTTAAGGTTTGCTTTCAAAATGTGACGCACTACACTACACTTCGCTAATTTGAAGCAGTGGTGAAGGCCTTCGAAATTTTATTTCGCAATAAGAGTCAGCGGGTAGACGGAGTGTTCTCGAAATATTGCCTGGTGCTTTGGACTTGAAAATCTAGGCGCTATCTTAACAGTGTCAACATCGAATGCTTTGTCAGCACTTTCTGCAAACTTAAATATCTTGGAAAAAAGATGAGATGTTTTGATCGAAATCGAAAATGTACTGCAAAGCTTGGTCCATAAAGATCCATAAAAGCCTTAGATAATTAAAATTTAAAAAAATAACAAGGAAATATTTTTACGAGCATCTAGTTAATATTCAACCGCGACAAATACCCAAACCAAGGAATTTTTATCTGACATATTATTCCGCTTAACGATGCATCTACTGAAAGGGGCCAACTGATTCGAAACCATTCATGACCTTCGATGCTAAGATTCTATGAACGAGACACTTAAAAAACATTGTTTTACTTTATTTTTTTTCCCCGTGCTAATACGCTATTATTTTCAACTCTACAAAAAGTCAGAAATAATTTTGTTTTCTATGGGGTTTTTTTTGGCATGGTTTTGTTTTGTTTTATTTGTTTTGCAATACAACCACTGATAAAATCCTTTCCTCGAAGGCTCCCTTGTAATTTTCAAGGGAAATGTTTTGATCTATATCTCTCTATGCCTAAGGCGAGGGTGGCGAAATGCTTACTTTGATTTTATCTTATATGGCTAATGAGGAAATTTCTAGCCCGTTTCTCGTTACCTTGACCATAGAAATTAATTTGTAATTAAAATTTTCTCTCTGAAAACTCAGAAGGTTTTTAAAAGTTTTAAAATAGACCTGGAAGTAGCTGCTACTGAGTTTTACCTCAAAATAGCATTTCTAAGTTACTTGAGTCAGTGCTGTGGCCCTAGGGAAGGCGTTGTGTCCACGGGAATCTTAAGGAGTGATTAATTTCCGAAAATTATTTTTGCACAAGGAAACACTTTTCGATCTAGCAAAAGAAAACGTGTTGCTTCCTTTTTACGCTCAAATTTCCCCTAAGAGTGCATTTGAGCAGATACGTTTGTAGAATTTGCTTGAATATTTGGCATTATGATCGATCTTTACTTTTTTAGTCAAGATTGTTTTTGGCAATTAGAGCAGAAAAACGTTTCTGTTGATAAAATCAAAGGCAAAATGATACCCTGCGTGAGAAGCCCTCGACAAGAACGCAAGTTACACGTGCGTGAGAGAGCAGAAACGCCAGCGTAGCTACTGGCTCGCGCGTGTTCGACTCAATCCCTCGCGTCCGCGCGTGTCTGGTGTGTTGTGATTTCTTTGACACAAGGTCTTTTTTTATTGTATTATGTAAACCTAAACGTCATTTCAGCTGTTGCCATTATTTTGGTTCTTTTTTTTTTATGCCTTTTTGGTTTTCGGTTTTTTTGTTTTATTTATTTTTTTGTGTTTCACTCAAGAATGTTTTTTGGCGATCAGAAAAGAAAAGCATGTCTGTTGATATCAATTGAAAGCCTTAATGATGGCACATAGATAGAAGGAAAATAACAGAGGCAGGAAAGAACAGATCTTGCTTAAACGTAAGCTTATCCCAGTCCCTCGCGCCCGCGTAAATCGAGTATAACTGGTCTGTTGCAACAGAGTGTCATCCTCTTGGAACACTTAATGCTCATGAAGAATTTTCCAGAAATGGCGAGTCGGTGATGTAATTCAACTAGACAGGAGGTTAATTGATTAAAGTCCGATATCGGAGGCTAAAGATTAAAATCAAGAATAAATCTTTCAATCCACGTATTGACCCTCAGTGAATATGAAGAAAAGTATTGATGTTTTGGTATTTCAGTTGCAGCCGTCTAGGTTCCCCTCTCTTTCATATCTGAAGGTGTTCCTATTCAAACTTTTTTTATTACATGTAGTCACATTTCTTTTTGAGGAAAGGAGAAGAACTAATTTCACTTTCTGGTAAATCAGTAAAAATAAGCGGTGATTTGGCGTTCCTGTCTTGTCTACCATGCTCGTGATCTAAGGATGTGTGAAGGAATTGCTAAGTTGCTTCAAGTGACGTAATGAAAACTTGATACGCGTCTCAAATTTAGCAAATTGCACAGTCAGGCTCTAATCTTCACAAATATATCTCCGATTATCTAAGGTAAGTTGTCATTTCTCTGAGACATGTTATTTATTCAGTGCTTCGTGTTCAAAGCAAACATCAAAACCCACTTCCCAATTATTGAATAACCGTCACGACCAACATTGAATGTGGGAGTATAATGAAAGCTACGAACCGTGAAAGGTTAATGTGTATTGAACCATCTTAAGTGGACGGGTGGCTCTCCTTCCTTCCAAAATTTGTGCTTCTCTGATGAAGTAGCATCGTGGGCGGGAGGCAAGCAGTGCTATCATTGCCCTGGAATTTTATTTCATTGTGGGCTCGAGCCTTGAACATTTCCTTCTGAATTTGGAAACCTCTTCACGAAAAACGTCACTAGTTAATTTATAGTCAGTCACGCAACACTGCATCATTCATGACTAACGCGCTATTGAAATTTTCTTCATTTGAATCTTGGTTAACCAGAGCGACAAGAGAACTGAAAGATTTCCGCTATTGCGTTTTATTTATGGCTTAGTTTAAGGTATTCATATTTTGGCCGTCTTTCTCCAGTATATCCTGTATATAAATTTGACGAACTTATCAATATGCATTCGTTGTCGGTCTGCGTATGCAGAGCAAAGCATAGCTAAAAATAACTTTTCATAAAAGCTGTGCAAAGGTCGTAAAAGAGCCCTTTGAGGCTCATTTTAAAAAACGCATTGCAGACTTGATCAATCCGAAAATACGATCCTAGTTCCATCCACACATCTCGATAAGTCGAGACAGCTGTCCTTCTCTTGAAACGCAAATCTCGATTGGTCATAATTTTAACTTCTTGGTACCATATTTGGTATTGCCATTGAGTGCTCTGTCAGCGCTTTTGAGAAACATTTGAAACAAAGATGAGGAGTTGTGAACTCAGGATTTTCGCAGCATTGTGTGGAAAAAGCCTACGCCGATGAAATATTCCAGGTCGCTAGCTGAATTTGTTGGTCAGTTACAAGTAGCTAGTTCATGTTATTCATATCATGCATGGCATCTGACTTGTGCAATTAATCTGTCTGAGCATATTTCCGCAAGTGATACATCCTGGCAAAAGAGGCCAACGAATTCGAAACCTCTCACGATCCTATGATTCTGTGAATGAAATTATCTAAAGAAGTTGTTATTTTTTTCGTTAATTTATCAGATGCTTAAATTTTTATTTTCAATGTTGCATAATATCAGAGTATATTTCGTGATGCGACTCAATCATTTACAATAATTTGGCCTTTAAGGCCATTTTGTTATGTTTACAAATAAGCAATATTTAGATCTTTAGATGCCTAACTTGACAGGCTAAATGCTTGACGGAAACATCAACTTATATGGGAATTCATGAAAATTCCAACCATAACTCGTTACGCTTCTTTTGTTAATTGGTAGTAAAAGCATTAGTTGCTGTTTTGTTGTTATCAAAGAATTGATCAAATGAGCAAAGTTTTACGCAGCTGTTCCTCCTCTCCTAAAATCGTCGCTCTTAAAGGTTCCTTTCGATATCCAAACTGGAAGTCGCTGCTACAAAGTTTGACCTCTGCCCAAATTGCCGACTTAATAGTCATTTAAATGAATACAGGAGCTCCAAGGAAAGTAAAGTATGCGAGGCTCCTAAAAGATGATCCACATAAATCTTCTCCCTACAATTTCTTTACATTATCCAGCAAACTGGTGATGTGAATAGACAGACTTAGCAGCACGAAATTGCGACCTAGATATGACGTGAAAATTCCATCCACTTTATCGCCTTTCGTCACGTTCAATTTCATTTCGTTCATGCATTTTATTGCATCTCATTTCGCCTCACTTTCGACTCCTTTTCAGTACTTTTTTTTGTCTCATTGCATGTTAATTCATTGTTTCACCATTTTTTATCGTTTTAGAAAGTTCTGCTCGGAAGCCGAACAACATTTCGTTCTAAATATAGTGCAGTAAATATATACAGTTGTTCGCGCAGTACTTCCTTCGATTTCCAAACTGATTTCAATGTCTTTGATCCCAATAAAATTTTTTTATTTGTCTCTAGGTTTGTGAAGCTGTCATGACTTTGCTAGCATTTGGATTTGAAGAAGTTGCCAAATAGGTGAGTATCTTTTTCCTTTCTTAGCTACGAATTAGGCTACGATGTGTTCATTTTTTTTGAGTCGCTGAAAACTGCAGTTTGATGGAAGAAAAATCTAAACGGAACTTCGTCAAATATTAAAGACGAATTATTAAACCTCCTGAGAAGCTATTAAAATAGAGATAAAATCATAACAAAGATGGAAAAAGAATGATTTTACTTGGAAAAGTTAAGAATTATCGTAGAGTATGGAGTATGTTGTAATGGAAAATGGGAAGGGGGGAGGGGAGAGGTGGGATATGAAATGTAGAAATACATGTAAGTATTTGTCAACTATGATTTTGTCCATTCAAACGTTGCAAGATATCTTCGTCTCACGCGTGTACAACTGATGGAGGTTTTGTGAGTGTGATATTGGAGCTTTTCCAAATTGGAAACTGTATAAATCATTTGGAGACAGCGTGACGAACACGCGTGATTCTTTTCTATGGGATATCGTAAAAGCCATAATTTCCTTAATTAAGATGCATTGAAATGACTAATTTCCCTTGCCGTCATCCTTGTTTTGTTGTCCTTGAACAATGCAGATATTTAGTAGTTTGTTGCCGTTAGACAATATCTCTTTAGCTGGCTTGGTAGTAACGCTCCTTGTCACGCAACACCGTGACTGTCGATTATCGATTATAAAACTTCGCCCAAAGATTGTATGCCCAACGATAACCAGTCCGCAAGAAACATAAAAGACTCTTACGCAAGCAATACCTCAAAATTAATTAATAATTTGATTACGTTTGCAAAATGACGAGTTCATTGGTTAATTCTGCTTCAAAGCATTACTTGCTACATGAACCCTTAGCAAAAAGTCGTATGGGACTATGCCATATTTTACAACATTCGGTGATCGTACGAAGAATTCTTCAATTTATTAATTTTTCAATTAATTTATTTTTGAGATGTAAATCGACAGTTAAAATTGCGATGTACTTCTCCATAGTGTTCACAGGATTACTTGATCATGAGATACCCTTGATTTTGTCACGTTTATAAATGGAAAACTTCAAATCTTTCCACTTGTGTACAAGATTTCAGGGAATCATGAGGTTTTCACGAACTGAGAAAAAAATTCACGAGTCACCAATATTTTAGGAGGCATGTCACGTCTTATGCTGGTTTGATTTAAAGAGGTGATACAAACCTTGTGCTAGAACCCAGTCAGTATGAGAAACAACGGTTTTAATACACGGCCATTCACCGCTGTTGCCTTTTTTTCCTCATTATTTTAAGATTTGTTCCAAGGGAGAGGCAGTTAGTTGATCAACCCGGCACTTGGGAAGGGTATTTGAACGCAATTTTGGCCATAGGGAGGCGGGAATTTGTCGGAATTTGGACGAACCATCAAAATTTCGGGTGGGTTGCCCGGGGGTTGCCCGTGTGGGGGGTGTCGAAACTTCGTATAGATGACCCGATTTTTTCCGTCATTTACTCTCGGCTGTCTCGAACCCGCGCTTATTCGAACCATTTGTTTATGTTTGGAGTTCGAATTAGCGGGGTTCTACTGTATATGAGCGACAATTTTTCTTTACACTTAAGCTCAACTTGCTCCAACTTTACTGAGCAATTTGCTTGAATGTTTGGCATAGTTACAGATAACTTTTTATTTTTTGTATTCAATAATGTGTTTGGCCGTCAGAGCAGAACATTCTGTCTGTTGATAAAACATTCTTATGTCTATTGATAACGCGCGTGACAGCCTCTCGAGAGGAAGCAGGCATGATGATCTTAATCACTCGCGCGGGCCCGCGTAAATAAAGCGCCTTCAAGACAAGCTTCATGATAAGAGGCTAGTGACCGTTGTGTTGCAGAAGATATTGTTATGTTGTTACAACACTTCAAACTCATTGTGATTTTTTAAGGAAATGGAAGGGTGGGAATGTACAGCAGCTACTAGGGAGGGCTATTCATCGGTGAATCGAGATTTTGACCACATTTTAATATTTCAAGCCGCACATTGACCTTTAAGGGCTTCTGATGACTCATCTATTGCATCGGCCTTTTACTACTAATTCAGCATAACTGTGATTCTTCAGAAAGGAATTCGGAGTTGCATTTCATCGAGGGCCAGCTGTTTGAGGGAAAAACAGGGAAGCAATATACTTAATTGTTCCGGCACCTGGGATATGAAGAACAGTATTGATGTTTCAGTTGATTTAAAGCAGTTGCAACCGTAGAAGCCGATGAAAGGCGCTTGTCTATCAGAACGGAAGTGTTTTTTCCGCATTTTTTTTTTCTTTTTTCAAGTTGCGAGCACGTAATAATTCTATTTTCGCTGAGAATGGACAACCGAAATGACAGATTTAAGAAGGAAAAAACCCTCGAACTGGGGAACGAAAATATTATGTGATTTAGCAGTATTAGTCATAATGCACAGATTATAAATATTATTCTGAAATATGGTTATGAAATAATAGAATTACGTAGCCCGTATCTTAGCAATAATAGAGTGCTACAACAATTCTTCTTATTGTGACAGTCATATGAAAAATATTAGTATAGTGGTCGCAAAATCATCCATACGTCACGCTTTGGGTAGCTTTTCGGTCCAGTCCGTTTAAATCAATCAATTTTCTCAATGCTAAATGGCGCTAAACTGACTGGTTGCAATCATTTGTCAGCGATGACCTCTTTCTTAATTCCTGTTCCTATTCAAACTGATTTTTACTACACGCTCATCTCTTTGGCGTTTCTTGTACATACACAGTACAAGGACAACGTACAAGTGTTCATGATGATCGAAAGAGTTGCTCATTTGCGCCTGACAAGTAAAATAATGAAAACATGATAGTAATTTGCACCGTCACTCTCCCAGTAGTCTCCGATAATCATAACCCTCGATAAATATTTCTCGGATTAACTCAGGTGAGTTGTCATTCCTCTTAGTAAACATATTCTTCATATTTTCTGGATGAAATTCATCGTGGAAACACCAACCATCAAAACCCACGTCCTGCACCTGGAAAAATCGTCGTGATCTGTGGGAGTATTTACGCTACAAAACCGTCAAATCCAAAATGCAAATCGCATTGGTTCAAGTGAGCGGGTGTCTTTTTTCCCCCAGCCGGAATTTATGCTTAGCAGATGAAATGATATCCTGGGCGGGCGATAAGATGAGCTACCCTTTTCGCCGGAATCTCGGACCTTGGATCTTTCCATCAAAATTTCATCGTGATGTTAATCAACGTCACGCAACACGCCACAACGCTTGTGACAAACGCGGTGTATAAGCTTTCCCTGTTTAAATCTCTCTTAACCAGACGAGCAAAAGACTGAAGGATTTCCGTTATTTCTGGTCTTATTCATGTCTAAGTCTAAGTTTTTTTTACATTTAGGCTCAATATCGCTTAAATACCCTGCATTCAAAATTAATCCTGTAAATTTCGCGGAACTTGTAAACTGCCACCTCATTCTTCCGCGCGGTCTGCGCATTTGTAGGAAGTCATGATTGAAAATAGGCCTTTTAAGCAGTTTAAAGCTGCGTAAAAAGAGCCTGAAAGCATGTTCCAGCATTATCATTCCATGCGAGCGATCTAATCACAATTATTAACACTTATCATAAGTGAAAACACATCTCGATTATTGGTTGGCTCACGATCGACCTACTCTTAAGACGAGAATCCTAATTGGTCGAAGCAACTTCCGCTCTGTTTGAACAAAACTTGAGAGGTCACGACTGAATAACATTTAAAACGCTCTGTCAAGCTCTGCAACGAATCTTCCATGTACTTAGCATGAAGTTTATTGTTTTCTATGTGGGATCGCGAAGTTCCGCGTAGGTCCTTTAGCTGAATTTAACCATTGTAAACACACTTGGGCGACATTATAGTAATTTGGTTCGTAGGTGTCAAGATTCTTGCATGATGTTTCATTGATGTTATGAAATTTAATTTGCGTAGGTGATGGCATCCGTCGCTTGGGTTGTGAAGAACGTATATGCGCACTAATTTTGGAAGTGCAATATCTCCCTCAAGGGATGTACCGGGAGAAACACGTCGGTAGTGCTTGCTACGGAGAATCCCTAACATTCGAAGGACACGAGGAAGTTGGGAGAATAATCGAGGAATCACCACCAAGAGCGCCGAAATGAGTAAGTGAATTAATATTAAACGTAAAATATTCTGTGAACCGTTTCTCACCTCTTCAAAAAAAATTAGATTCAGTCGAATTATTCACGAGATAGTCGATTGGAATCCGTTTTGGTCACCTTCTTGGGCAATATTTCCGCACAACCCCGTACTTCATTATGCAGACACATCTTGGAAAAATAAAACTGGAGAAAACGATGGAATATCTTTGAGACTACGACTTTGTTTTAGAATAGTATGGGATTATCAGAAAATCTCTCCCCTTTTGGACTTAACTGTCGTCATTGATTCTTTTCCATGGAGCGATATTTTAGCAGGGGACTTAAGATTGCGCGACGATTGCGTGTGTCTTTGACCTAATTTGACCAGAGAAGTGACATTTCAAAGCGTTCTCGCTCAATCGGATAATTACTACCACTTTTATTTTTGTGGTTTCTCAAAACGCAAATAACCAAATATGTATAAAGAATGCATGAAATGACTTCGCCATATACCTTTGAAACGTAAGACCAGAGCCGAAATCCGCTGTAAATTAAAATTATGTTTAACATAGCTCGCTTGCTTGTCCTACTGATAAGCTTCGTTTGAGCCAAGACGGTCTGTCTCTCTATTTTCTTATGGTTGCGTGTAGACATTTGATTTCAAAAAAGTTGACACAAAAATATGCGTTTGTAATAAACGATGACAACTCAAGGCTCACTAGGTACACGTACACAATAGCCACCATTAACACGTGGTGAATTATGAAACTTATGTTCGCTTTGTGGAAGAAAAGGACGGTCATAACAAAGGTTTTTCATAAAGAACAAGGAATGTGCATCACTAATTATGTATTTGGACGAGCATTCCCATAAAGCCATTGCGTCCCTTCGTTCGTGGATCACATGCTTTTAAGAGGTCACCGTTTTAGCAAATGAGCCTTCATCACGACGTGCGCAGTTCCAATTCGTTACGAAGTTCCCGTCCAGTTTTGTAGAGAGTTCCTTTTGCCAAACTTCCGTAATTCAGTGGAAGAAACTAATGAAGAAAATTGACCCCCTCTCAACTGATTCTTCTCCTTCCGGTCATCTGTCCTTCAAAAATAGCAGTGTTGCAGTCGCTCAGAGGAAAAATGGAATTTTAACAACATTTTGAAGATCAAAACTCTTCTCCAAGTCTTTGATTTTTGTTAAGCTGAGACCACCACTGAAACTTTGGTATTTTACTTGGTTTCTCTTGATTCTCTTTTTGTAAGCGAATTTTCCAGGATAACCAGTTTGAAGAACCAGATTTTCATCGAAAATTAAGAACTGATTCATGCTTAGCTTGCGAATGTCGGGGTGTAGATGCACTTGCGGTCTTAGAAGAGCACTAGAGAAGCGGAAGAGTCGCTTGTAGGCGAAAGAGCACAACTCACCAATAAATTTGCACAGTGACATTGGAATCTGACCAGTTACATATTTTGATATTCTGGGTTTTTTTTTTTTGCTTTTCGTGTGTCAACCATGATTTATCAATGGAATTTAAAATGCACTTTTCATTTCATTTCCTCGAAATCTCATGAAAAGCTTTGATAGCTGCAAAGCATAACTTTCCTTGATTTTCGGAATGATATCGGTGTTATATGTAATCGTAGATGTAACATTACATTTAGACTTTGAAATGGTTGGCAACTGTCATGACCGTGCGAGTTTTACAAGTTTTCAAGCCTTATTTGTATGATCAATAACATCACTGTCAGTGGAGGAGGTGGTGCGTCACGCGGATGTCAGAGAAGACTCCAGAAAAACAAACGAAGGAAAAAAAAAACTATCATAACAATGAGTTGCTCTTCCGGTTAAGATTATAAGTACAAAGTCTGGTTTGATCAGTGGATCGATGACAGTTGTTGTTTATAGAAGGAGAAACCATAGAAATTTAACGAAGATTTCAAGATGTCTAAAGTGAAAATGGCTTCTTTAACGTGATTAATTGAGTTGTTGGCTTTTTTTTTTTCAACGACGGCTTGGACTTTCCGTTGACTGAGCAATTGAGAGGCTCTATTTTCTGGAAAAGTGCCCTACAGCGGACCCACTCACTTACTTGGCATTGTTTCAAATCCTTGCTTTTACCTAAGAACATTCATGGTATGAGAGCATTAGAGCTTGTCTGAACTTATACTCTGTTGGTGACGACTAACTCCTCCCTCCGTTCCCATTGAAAATTGAAAACCATGATTTCTTCCTTCCCCCCCTTCCCCCCTTCCCCCCCCCCCCCCCCCACCCCTTAAAAAAAAAAGGCAAAAAAACCTTAGCTTTCGTTTTGGGGGCTTCACGCATGAATAGACAGTTTTAACCAGAGGCTTTTGGTACGTGGCTCTGTTCAAAAAGATTTCAGCTGTAGGAAACACAAATGCGTACTCGAGTGATATGTGATATGTTGCTTTCCACCCGTAAAGTCTTCGTTTAACCCTTTGACTCCTAAGAGTGACGAGCATCTAATTTCTCCTTACAATATCACTCCTGAATCAAACATTAAGGTCAGGAGAATAAAAGATATGATCACCAACTAAAGGAGCGTGTGATTTTTTAAACAAATTCACCTTGTAAGCCTCTTAGGAAATGAGCAGAGACCAGTAGGGAGAAAAGGGATGTAACGAGTTAATCCACATGAATAAGAAAAATATAAGTAACTTTCTCCAAGTTATTTGTTGTATCTTATCTTAGCTGCAGCTCTATCTTCTCATGAGTTATTCGAGATGTTGCAGTCGCTGTCTGAGAAACAACCCGAGGAGGTGCATAGGAAAGACTGGGGCGTAGGTTCGGAAATATATTGTACCGTTGAAGAAGGTAGGTTTTAAACTGAGGAGGGAGGGGTAGGTAGGTAGGCAGGTTACACTTAACTACAGTTAAGGAGCTTAAGGAGCTTAAGTAGCTGTCGGTGGGTAAACCCTCAAGTGTGTGCAGGTCATCAAGTATTCTGGTATTCGTTTGTACTTCTTGCAAGAGAAAGGGAATTAACGAGTTAACTGTCTTGTCCACGAACAGAAACGTTGACCCTTGCACGGCTCGAACCCAGGACTTTCGATGCCGAGTCCAATACGCTTTCCTCTTTGGCGGGCCAAGGAAGTAAAGTTTCATTGGCCAGGAAAAAGGGTCAATGCCCGACCGGCTTTTTCTTTGCTTAGAAGTTGTATTACAACGAATGAAAAAAATGATCTCATTATCTGAATTCCTGTTTTTGTATTTCCTTAGACGCAGCAACATCTCCTAGCAGTTTACCTCAGCCAGTACAACCAGTAGCTGAAGAACAACTAGAGGAGGTGTTTTGTGTGAAATGGGGTTCAGCTTCTGATATGCACTGGCAACTGGACGATACTAAAAGCGCTATTTACAAGTATCTGTTAGAGTACGGTCAAGGAGAATTTCCATCCCACAAGAAAACTCTAAAACAGCTAAAAAAGAACCTGGCGCGGTTTAAAGATGAGGATCAACTCCGTGACACAATGACGAGCGTGACGGAAGAAAGGTCGAGCACTTTTCACGCACTCATCGCTGAGGTCGCGAGTCACGTAATCGTTGCAACCGTGCGTTTGAAACAGCCAGGTCTGCGGAATTTTTACTCCAATGGCATCGGAAAGCACGTAATGACTTCTGTGGAGAGAAAACATTCTTGTTTGATAGAGATACTCGACGACAAGACACAGGCTACCTCCAGCGACGAGATCGAAACTTGCTTTGACAGTGCCTTAGCTGAGTTTGAGAAGATCTCAGACGTTTTCAAAACACATGTTAGTATATAAATTGAATTAGTACAACACACTATGAGGGGGAAGGGGTGTAGAGGATATTGATGGAGGAGGGATGTGCCATCAATAAAGATGAATATAGAACGCAGCTCCCCATCCTCAGATATTCATCCAAATTTTGCTTACGAATTTTGAGGTACAGGATCCGTAATAGCAGTGGACCTCATTGGGTTCACAATATATGCTGGTTTCCAAAAGAATAACTTAATGCTTTCAAGCTGAAAAGTTCCCTCATCTTCGTTACACAAGCGGTCATGAAATCACGATCTATCTCGGTTTCTATAGCAATAAGGGACTGTAAGTATCACCATTACCCCAAGTTCACTTCAATGGCGCCTGTTTATAATCGTGGGTGGAGAGGCGCATTGTGATATTCAGGTGTCATTCTCCCCTAAGAACACCTAAAAAGAAAACAAGAAAAAAAAGATAAAGCAAAACAAAAAAAAAGTGGGGGACCAGACCCATGGGACCAGACCCATTCTCACAGCACTAACCGCTAACATCACACCACATCACCCTAGCTGTATTGTAGATGATCGCCCATGTCGCGAAAACACGGTGCCAAACAGCTATTGAAGAATGGAAGATTATTAACTACGGACGGTGTTTACTTTGCAGATGGGTTCTCCAAAAATTGTGGACGAGAAGGTTTGGCGCGAGAGGAGCTGGAAACGAACCTTCCCTGAACTGTCAGCGGATTGCAGTGAGAGCACATGGATTAAGAACACGCAGATATGCCTATGCATAGGCGATGTGACGAAAGAAACAACTGACTCTTTGTTGATCATAAATACAAATACACTGGAGCTGAAGAAAGGTGGTCAGTTGAACAAAAGTCTCGACCACGCTGCTGGTCCTACTGTCCGAAATGAGTGCAAGCGCATCATCTCCAGAGATGGTGCGCAACTTCCCGGCAACATAGTAATGACAGGAGGTGGGGATCTCCCCTCTAAGAACATAATACATGTCATCGCTTACCCAGGCTCTCCGCAGATCCTGGATCTTCAGATGGGAGTGAAAATGGGTCTAAAGTTCGCAGACGAAAGAGGAATGGGTTCTATAGTTCTGCCAGCGATAGGCGCAGGGGCCATGGGACTGTCACCATCAAACTCGGCCCGGGTTCTTTCAAGGGGAATTCTAAGCTTTCTTGAGACGCCCCCACGGACCATCAGAGAGATAAGAATTGTCCTATTCAACGCAGATCTGTTGTCGACGTTTCGCGATGAGTTGAAAAACGAATTCGCCCCCATTCAAGCCCTTGAGGGCTTTTCCCCGCTTTCTATGCCTGCTAAAGAAGAAGACTGCATGACTGAGATGACACCTTCGGTGGTCGCATTTCCCAAAGAGTGCGGAAACACTCCGACTAAGACGGCAGAGTTTCGAGTGTATGGCAAAGATAGGAAGTGTGTTACCACTGTCATAAACAGTTTGCGTGGCAAGTTTATGAAATATTGCACAGTACAAAAAGTTACTCACAAAGAGATTCCTCGGTTGATTCAAAGCTGCTGGGCGTGGCTTCGACACGTGGCATCAAAACATGACACGGATATTAAAAAAGATGAGCAAAACAGAACTCTTATAGTAGGCGGCACTTCACACGATGTTTGTGTGGTTGTGAGTTGTATTCGGCAGAAAATCGATCAGCTCATCGAGAATCAGCAAGTACTTGAAAAACGTAAATTGATGACGCAGTACGTGCGGTGGCATTATGTTATCCTTGACCAGGAAATTCCTGTCAACGAGGTAGTCAGCTCAATGATAGAAGAGGCGTGGACTAAGAAACAAGATGGAGTTGCATTCTGTATTAGTAATAACACTTACAAAGTGAATTTTAAGTCCATGACTGTTGTGTCGAGCGACATGAAATACCAAGCACTCCGGTTGAGTCGGAAGTTATTTACAGAAACCGGTATGCTTTTTTTATCATATAAAGCAAATAGTTCTCATTTTGCCGTGGGTCTGTACAGTAACGGGACTCAGGAGAGGTCAAAAGGCTATAAGGACATCAGTGACACACTCGGCTACGCCTTGTGTGCCGCTTCGTTGTTCTTACCACATTTTGATGTCATCTGTGATCTATTATTGAAAACACGCGCGGCAACATGGAATGTATTTGTAAACTATAAGGGATACTTCTTTTTCAGGTGTTGTCACTCCAGATTCTTGGTCAACGCAACCGTTCTTCGCAGACGGAAAACCATTTCCAGTTGCCATGTTTACCGTTGCCCCTTCCGCGGAAATGGAGTACCAAAGCGTTGCCAACACGTTTTATAGCACTGGTGGCCCGGGTACGATAGTCAGCATCGAGCGTGTTCAGAATCCATGTCTTTACACGCAGTACATCGCTTATAAGCGGGAGGTTGAGCGGACAAACAGTCGATTCGGTCGAATCGTAACAAACGAGTTACAACTTTTTCACGGGACGAAAGGTTCGAATGTTAACTCCATTAACAGGCAAGGATTCAACAGAACCTTTTCTGGAACGATGCACGGTTAGTTTGCTCATTGTATGTCATTTATATTCTTTAAGGGCACCAGATTTTGATCTTGGCTGAGTTCCATAATTTCTCAGAGAGGACCTATATTCCTATTCGAGCTAAAGACTCCGAGAATTTCCGAAGAGCTCCGACACCACCTCCTTCCCAAGACCCCCCTTCTCAAACCGGACGTTTTCGGAAACAAAACCATCAATCACATGGGCATTTCTTCTTCTGTATTCCTTAGACTTTATCTCAAATTATTCTTGCTAGGCGTGAGAAAGTGGTAAGCAGACTTGAAAAAGCGTTAGTTTGGAGATTTTAATCCATTGTGGTCAGATTTAGCCGGTTTTAAATTTCAATTCTGTTTGTTTTGTTTCAGGAGCGGCCTTTGGCAATGGGGTGTACTTCGCATCTAGAGCGTCCTATTCTAAGGGCTACACGGCCCCGGATAAAAATGGACTGAGACACATGTATCTGGCTCGAGTCGTTGTGGGTTTTTACACCTTAGGACAGAGAGGGCTTCTTGTTCCTCCCGCGATATCCTGTCATGAACCAGAAGTTCTTTTTGATTCTGTAGTGGACAACACGGAAAATCCATCCGTTTTCGTTGTATTTCGAGACGCGCAATGCTATCCGGAATATCTCATCACTTTTAAGACTTGAGTCAACCATCACAGTAGCTTTCATACTTCTCATTATTGCGTGACTAGCCACGGCTGTTGCGTGACTTCATTCTTTTCAATACAGTCGTAACGCAATCTTCTACAAACGTCGAAACAAGCGCAGTTGTGTTGTTTCGTGTTGTTGTTGCTCTCCTAAAATACTGTGATATTCCAAAGTTCAGAATTAACAATCCTCATGGAATTTTTTTTTTCCTGTTTGGAGAAATGCTGTTGTTAAATAATCTCCTTGTTACAACAACTTCATGTTTAAAAGCAATCAAAATATTAGGTATTATCTTTAAACAATTGCAAAACACTGGGTGTAGGAAAAAGAGAATTGGGAGTTATAAAATAAAAACAAAAGTTAAAAAAATCCCTTTGTATTCTTTTAGCTACAATTTAACTAATATCATAACCTAATAATACAAAACTATTCATCAAAGTGGAGGTAAATATTCACCACTTTCACTGATAATTAGGTGAATAATTTTTTGGTATATACCACACAGAAACCAAAAAAATTAAAGTAGTTTTGTCAATATACCACAAAAAAAGGTTGGAAACTAAACTCTTGACTTGCAATTTTGTCTCCTCAGCTGCTTGTATGTAGGTGGATAGTACTGGCTAATCATGACTTCCAAACAGGCCACTCATAGGGCAAAACACATTATTAACCTGTGTGGTGTACACTAACTAAGGGTGTTATGATATCTCAATATTTTACTAGCCTGCCTTGATTAGTTTGGCTATATGCAGGCCAGCCCAGTGCATTAAGTGTAGATTAAAGAATAAAGAATCTATTTCAATTTTGTAATAATGTACATGCAAAAATTACAAGCTTTTGATTGGCTGAAAATGAGAGCATTCTTATGTAACACACGACCAAATCGCAAGAAGGGTGAACACCCTTTCTAAACTCTTTCTGCTTTGACTCTTTGTGATGTATTTTTTCATGTACATTATTAACAAGTAACAACATGATTTCCCTTGCAATTTGGTGTAATAAGCTCTTGTAAACAGCTTGTGCAATTTTATTGTCTTTGAAAAATTTTCTTATTCTTGTTAACACCAAATTTCACTTGAAATCATGTTATTACCTATATGAATTCAACTCTTAAAAGCATCAATTTCTGATGGGTTAAGTTAGTTGTTCAGGGAAGAATTTTCAACCACTCATCATGCGGAAATTTGTCTTCAGCCAAATTTTACTATGAAAACATACTTTTTAGTATATTGGATATACTGTACAACTCAGTTACAAGTGTGAATCCCACTTTGGCTTCATAAATTATCACAGGATTTGTTTCATAATTATTTCAAGTTTATAACCATTCAAACACATACATAAACAATTAACCTTCTAATCCCTGAGAGTGTCTAGTATCTAATTTCTCCCAATAGTATAACTGCTGCATCACACAGTAAGGTCACGAGAATAAAAGAAATGATCACTGACTTAATATTCTCTTGATTGATAAACAAATTCTCCTTGTCAGCACCTTAGGAATTGTATGGAAAACAGTATGGAGAATATGCATACTGATGTTACAGGTGTAAAGGGTTAAAGCCAACTGGTATGCCTTCCTCATAGCTGACACTTCAAGCATAATTTATTGCGTAAAATTCAAATTTGAATGACTATGTACATAGATAATAGACTCCATTTGTGGTAAAAATATGCTCAGATACTTTTCTGTGGACGTAACCAGTTCTGAGATGCAATTTTTTGTTAGAATAAAGTTCAAAGAAAACTGTGAACTGATAAGGACAATTAATGTCTCTCCACAAGTATTAAGGAGGGTAATTTCGAGCCAGTTGGAAGCTATAAGTTAAAGTTATCCTTCCAATATATTTACCTTTTGGATATCACACATAACTTGATGTTTTCAAATGACTTACCCTTGAAGACTTTTCAAATTCTCTCCCAACTTGAGCTCACTTGGTAAAGGGAAGACTTTCATCACATCTCATGCAAGGTGAAATGAAACAGGGGAATATCATTCTTGGGATATCACCTCATATTCCTCAGTTTTAGTTGGGGTATATCCAGTCACATGATGTATTTGAACAAATCACATATAAGCAAGAAACATTTAATGGAATATACTTGTGGTTCTTTGTCTGAGTAGAATACATGGAGATGATAGAAGTTTGCTTCCATAGCAAATATCAAAGAAAAACTACAATTATTTTTCTTTAGTTCTCCTGGTAATGTTATGGTCACCTCTCATCTAGCCAACAGAATAACACTCAGAAGAGTGACACCTTCCATTCCTTTCTCAGATAGGGTAGAGGGAAAAAACAGGAGATGCTTGCTAGTTCAGTCATATTTGTAATGATAACACTGGTTTGATCAGTTTTTGCAGATTTCAAAAATTTATTTGTGCCACATTCCCTGCAAAAATTGTCTGAGCATATGCACTTTGTAAGATCTGTACAACTGAAAATTTGCTCTTGAGAAGAGTCCTGAGTAAAAGCTGGGTTATTCTTCTAATCAGTTAAACTAATGCACCAATCAATTTGAAACTTTAACATCCCCACCCCATGCTAGCTGGCAACCCACTGACATTTGAGCATTTCCTGGGGAATGGGGAATTTAAACCTTGCTTAGCTGGAGTGGGTAATTTGAACCACACATACATTGTCCATCAAGTCTGGCAGAACATCTTTTGTTATATCAAGAGTTCCCTTTCTTGAGTGAATGGCTCTGGAGAATAGGTCATCAAGGTCTTATTTTGAAAGCTTGGTCAATGGGTAGCAAGTCATGATCGCTGATTTTGCCTTTAACCAAAAAAATGACCATCAAATCCAGGCTGCTGAAGTGTTGAATTTTGAAATGATCCATGCATAATTTGCATTTGTATAAATACTTTGTCTCCCCTACTTCTAAAACTACTGACAATAATAAATGTCATCATTTTCAAGTAATGACGGGAGGTCGGTTCATGTTGATCACTTAATAGTAATCACCAATTACAAACCTCACCTTGAATTGGACGTCTAAGTTAACTTTTCCAAGCTCAAAAGAAGACAATATTTAGGTTTCAAGAGCCCTCACTTTCAAAATTAAACTTGTCTTTGGTAATGAGTCATATTTACATGAAAATAAAAACCCTCATCAGCAAAACTTTTTTTTTTTTTTTATTTATTTTCCTTTTAGCACAAGTCGAAATGTTAAGTTAAGACCTTTTAACTCTTTGACCTCTTGGGGTTATAAGCATCTGATTTCTCTCTACAGTATCCCCCCTAACTCAAACATCAAGGTCACAAGAATGAAGGAAATGATCGCCAACAAAACGAGTCCTGGATTACTGAATAATTCTCCTTGTCAGAACCTTATGAAATGTATAGAGAACAGTATGGAGAATATGCATACTGATGTTTGGGTGTAAAGGGTAAAGGGAACAAAAAATTATAAGCAAGGGAGAGGTGGAGGAAAGGAAAATGTTCCCTTGCCCTCTCTTGATTTGTGGGCTAGGGAGAAGGCTTCAAGGTTTCACACTTACTTACTTTGTGCTTGTTTAACCCTTTAACTCCCAGATCAAATTTGTTATTCTCCTTACTGTCAATCATACAATTCTTATAATGGTAGTTCAGAGAACTCAGTATTAGATCAACTAATTATCTCCAAATTGATATTTTTCTTTATTCTCATTGCTTATCTGGTTGATATTTTATTGATAAGGAGAAATTCTGTCTTGGTCACTCATGGGAGTTAAAGGGTTAAATTAGCCTATCAGCAGTAATATACAGTCATAGTTTTCCTAGCAGTCAAACATGAATTAGCACTGTACTTCTAGTGCTCTTAACAACTTGGGCCTATTCTTATTCTGTTTGCTAAAGGTTTAGTAAGGTGCTGATAAGGAAAACTTGCTCAAAAAACCTAAAGCTTTTTAATTTATTTGGTAATCATTTCCTTTACTCTCATGACCTTAAAGAGTGATTCAAGAGATATATTGTAAGAAGATATAAGATGCTAATCACTCTATCATGGATTCAAGGCTTAGATCAAACCCTCTCACTAGTAACAGAATGATAAAAAATCATATTTGGCTCAGTTTATTACCTATAATTTCTGTTGCCACAATAGTTTGAAATTTAAAAAAGGAGCCCTCAGATATTGAAAATGCACAATACACTGGTTAAGCAATAGATAAACCTGTGTCAGCACCTTGTATTCATTCCATCTCACATCCTGAGGAGCAAGAAGAATTCCTATTGAGTGGCACAGAGCTGGATGACAGAGAATTCACACATACTTCTTCATGGGATGGTTCCATAAACATCATTTCTGTTGATGTTATTAATTTGGAGATATCCTCTAACCTCTCCCGAAAGGGAACGATTTCTAGGTTGAATCCAAGTGTTTCAGCCAACTGCAGTGCTTGAGTGGCCTCACTCTGCGCTGCCTCCAGATCACCTAGCCTATAATTTAGGTCTGACTTCGCCCCTAAGAACTGTATTTTCTGTCCTTCGCTCATCTCATTCTCATATTTTTCTTGTACTGCTCGGAGGCAGGTTTGAGCATCTGCAATACATTTATCGCTTGTAACTTGTTCCCGAGCTGCCCTTGTTCCACAATTTAGGTCCAGTGCGGCGAGTTTGAGTAGACCAAAGTGATGCTTTTTAATGTATAGGCTGTTTCCGTCAAGTTCTATGCTCAGGTCTATGCATTGCTTCATGTAGTGCTTCGATTGTTCCACGAGCTTTTTGCGTGCAGAAAGATGAAGTGGAACAGAGTTAATATAGATGGTCAAATTGCTCGCCATTTCATAGAGTATCAATGCCTTTACGAAACGAGAGGTTTCATTTTGTGATTTCGGTGATACCTGTTCGGCGACAGCAATGGTGGAATCTGCTTTCCCGTGCTTATACTGCCGTCGATAAGTTCCAGTCAGGTAAATATGGGCCATAGTCACAAGATAGTCTTTCATTTCAACTCTAGCCTCAGAATTTTTCAACTTACTCAACACCTCCCGAACCATCGCTTCCGAGTTCTCCAAGTCATTTTGATAACTGACAACTACGCTCTTCTCGAGAAGGATTAAGAGTTCTAATTCTAAATCACCTTTGCTGTTCATCAGGATACTATCTGCGACGCTGGTAAAGTCCATAAAATTGCCACTGTCTCGTAAAGGATGAAGTCTGTTCAAGATGATGTGAAATCGCTTCATCGATTTTTCAAATGCCAAGTCTAGTTCCCCTGAAGCGGAAGGGAAAATTTGTGGTCCGCAATGACCGTAATAGGAATCTTCATCGCTTTCGTCTGAAACATTTTTCGAGGAAAACTTTAAATCTCCTCTGTGTTTGCGCTGAGGGAACCCTAGCTTTGTTTGTCTCCTTTTCGTTCGACGCCTAATTTCTCCCCCATCGTGACAAATAGCTGACCTTCGAGTCGCGGTTCTACCCGATCGAGAAACTGTTGAGTGCTCAGGATACTGAAGACATCGGCAGAAGTTATTCACAACGTTTCCATCACCAATCACAAGGGTTTCAATCTTGGAATTGATAATATTGATGGTGTATTTTTCGTCTCCATGTGCGCTTGGTAGACTGACTGCCATAACAACGTATGAAGTAATTACTATTTTGATACAGTGATAACTTAGCTACTGGGACGGGGCTGGACAGTCATACACCTCCCTACCCCTCTCTACCACTTGCGAAATGTTTCTCAGATCCAACATGCACCGGCATTTCCGGTACTTTCCCACATTTTAATTAAGTGAGGGAAAAGGGAATATTACGGTGGCCCATAGAGGACATGCCACACTTTTTTTTATCGCGCGATAAAATCAAAATATCGTCCACGGAAACAACGTGCGTGACAGCCGATTACGTGACCTATAATGTTTCCCATTTATCGCGCGATAATTTTTCATTTATCGCGCGATATTTTGATTTTATCGCGCGATAAAAAAAATGTGGCATGTCCTCTGTGGGCCACCGTAGAAGATATCATTAAAATTACGCGGCAAAACCAGCGAAATAATTCGAAACAAATTACAAGGCATAAGACAAATTACCAGACAAATGAAAAATTACAAAACATTTTCTCTTTGTCCCACGCTCGTGACAAGACGAAAAAAATTATTTCTCTTCCTTTATTTCTTTACCGAGCTCAAAACTTGACATGTTTAACAAATAAAAAGAACTGTCAATTTGAGGACAGGGTAGAACAATAACAGGATAGACAAAGTTTCGAAGCCTTTGTTTAGCATCATATTGCATAATTTTACCAAGGAAAGCAAAACCGACGCCTAAGCTCAAACCGGATCCCAAATAAACCTCAATCAACAATATGTTTCGGTTCTTGCACTTTTCAGGACCTCATCCCCCTTCCCACCCCACCCTGCCCCTCTTACTACTAGGAGATGATGATTATCTTTTTCTGTTTCCCTTGTTTATTTGTTTGTTTGTTTGTTTGTTTTTAATAATGTAAAAACTTGATGATTCAGGTGGCGTGAAGAATGTACTGAAAAGGATCACGTTCAACCAGTGTGCTTTGCGCACCGTTGTTGTTGTTATCGTGCGGGAGCTTGTAATTACTTCACACAGCACAGGTGCGAAACCTTATGAGCAAAGATAGACGAAGAAGAAGTGAAAGCAGCCGTGATTCTATCAATTTTACCAACAAAATTCAGCATGGTTTTGGTAGTGAAGGTCCAGTGAACCACTATGGATCTCCAATAACTGGCAGAGAAGGAACTTTTCGATTGCCTAGAAGAGTTGTGAGTTTTCACGGGTCTAGTATATTCTACCTTTATTTTGCTACCCTCGAGGGCGAATGGCTCGAAAAAAATAAGTTTTTTTCCTAATTTCCCCAGACGTGCCTATGCGGACAGAGGGAAGATGGACGGGGACCAGGAGGCTTGATCAAAGTTGATGTATGTGTGTGGTTTTTAGTGAAATTTCTGTGGACAACGTGGAGAAGATTGATAAACTTTTATCACGATTCGTCTTTATTTGTTTGTAATTCTGAATGTAGAGACAAATGTACACAGAGAGGAATAAATGAGAGATACCTGCATGTAGATAACTCACTTACGTATAAAAGTTTTGATTTCAAATAAAATGACACCTCAGGGGAAGAGAAAAAGCTTAGAATTTTCAAATCAAAGAAACAAGGGCATGTAAAATTCACCCCAAGTATAAAATACACAGGCAAGTGAAAAACACATGTCTTACGAATGCCCCGTGAAAGATTGTTAACACTTTAGTTCAATTATTTTTCTTAATTGTTTGTTCATAGGAGCACCTCAGGGATACCTGCTTCTTACACTTCTCATGGAAACAAGTATTTTCAAAAAAGGTAATTAACAATGACAGGGATAATGTCACCTCAAATAGGACATTTACTAGGTAAAGTTCTTTGAAACCCAGTAGGTGTCAGTTACAGAGTGCACTTGCTTTCAAAATTACCCTTTCTTTTGGCAGTGAATGGTATCTTATGGAAATAAATAGCCTCAGCTAATTGACCAGTCTTTTTTGTTTTGTTTTTGTTTTAATTTCATTTCAAGCTAAGAGGGATTTGCTTGAGTTACATCAGGGCAAAAAGACACCCACCCCAAAGGGGAATGTAGGGGAGAGGCTGGGGGAGAGGAAACAGTGAAACCCCCCATCAACCCCTGATGAAAATGAAAAACAGTGACTTTCCTGTCAAGGTCCTATCAAAGCCAAAACTGACTTCTGAAGAGTGTTAAACATAACTCAGCACTCTTGGTGTTTCAAACATTTTTTAATCTTTAATCTTAGGCTTCAAACTCATGTTAGGCAACTGTGCTAGAATGAGTGATAAATTAGATGTACATGTTGATGGGTTTTCTATCATTTCTGTAGCCTATTTAGACCACTCCTGATAATCAGAGTAAAAAAAGAAAATAGATAAAAGCAAACAAGAAGTTTTAAATTGTTTGTAAAGGCACATGGTCAAGGATTGATCTTATGTCACCAAAAGTGTTCAAATATATCTTATTTCACTTAGTATTTAGAGGTGATTCATTGTCATGGCGAGCAAACAGCCAGGAACTCTTTTTTTATCAAAGATGCACATTCTCAATTCTTGAGAGCCAACTCTTACATACTGGTCAGCTGGTTACTGGTACTAAATGGCATGTCTGACTTGATAAGAACAAATAATTTTTCTTTTCATTTTGTTAATAGCGAGAGTATTTGCTTATACACAAATTGACACACATTCCCTTTTATGAGACAATAATACCAATTGCTTAATTAAGCTGATATGAATGCTAATAAAACTTAATGTGTTGACATTGCACAGGGGGAACAAAATATATTTTGTGTTGTGAAAGTTATCCCTTTCTTTACGAGTCATTCTTTTTTTCATTCATAAAATTTTATTTGCAATGGCAAATGAGAATTAAAGCTGCAGAGGTACATGAATATTTGGAAACATAAGTGGCTACTTTTCAAGGCAAATTCCAAAGAAAAATTGATCAATAGATTTCTGTAGAAAGCTTGGAACCCAAAGGAAACATTAACCAAGCACTGCAAGCTGCCTTCACTGCAGAAGTATGGACCTTGCTGCTGGTGCTTATCCCTTAGGATTTATAATGGTAATAGGACAAGTGATTAACAAATTTGGATGATCACAAACCAGGAGTCAGGTGAATGTACTTCATGTATGATTACAGACCAAACTGGATAACACAGAGTCTTGTTACCAATTAATCATAACCATGTTTAATTTCCAAGAAAGTATTTCCAGTAGGGACATTGTCTAAACTAAAAAATCCTCAATTTTGGAAGTGCCCCACTTTGGTTGGGTAAATGGTTGCTGCTATGGTTGTAATCAATTCTGTGATTGGTGGATTTAGCTGAGTGGGTATAGCATCATTGGCTGCTTAACCTGTCCAATACCAGCCAACTGTTGGATTACACTGTCCAATTACAAATCTATGAAATAATTAGTGAAACTACAGCAGCTAATATACTAATCACAGCTGAGGAAATTGTACTGATTATGGTATTATTACAGGGAAAAACTGCTACTTCTCCCTGAATTGCATGCTAAACCATTACAATACTAAGCTCCAAACGTTTGTAGGGTTTTCTTGAAAGTTTGTTAAACTTTCACATCCAAATCTCAGTGAAAATTATCCCCATTGTTTGGCATACATTTCCAACAAAGTTTGTTTTGAAAATTTGATGTGCAATGAAAGTGATTATCTTCATGTAATAGTTTTTGCTTTTCTCATCTGTTTGCTGTTTACTATTGTATTGATACTGTAAGGAGAAATTATGTCGTTGTCACTCATGAGTGACAGAGTGAGTAAATGGGTTTAAACTTACTGGAAATTTTATACTTTCAAGAGGATTGAAAAACCTAACCCTAATGTCTAACTTCATAAGAGCGCAGCATGGGGACATGGTCAACTTAAACCTAAGACCTGTCAGAGGTATACCTTGAAGGCAATATATTAATTCTTTTAACTTTAAAATCTTCGCAATATTTTAAATGATCTGCTTCTGAACCAACCAATCCTCACCATCTAATCCTCACTACAGCCATTTCAGTTTCAGCCAATATTAACAAACGATTTGTGGTACATATTATTAAAAATGCTTCATATAGGTAGATTCTTATGGCAGATTTCTGAATTATGCTATTTTGATAGAGGTGAATAAAAACTAAAAAGGAACTGTAATTCTAATTTTTGGGAGGGGTTCTTCTTACCCTATGGTTAACAGGACTGACATCAGATTTAAATATCTCTTCTTAGCTCTATTTTCATCACCATGTTAGCCCAGTGTTTCTTAGATCAAAGTATTTGACTAAAATTCTAAGAAACCAGACCAGGGAAACTTCTTAAAGATCTCACCTCAACACTATTTTCATCACTGGGCCAGCCCAATTTTTCATAGAACACAGTGACTTGCAGATTTTGCCTTCATAACTGCGGGTAAACTGAACTTAAAATTTCCCCAAGAAATTAAATGTAATGAAAGAATATATAAAACAGAGGGCAAATTTTGTCTTACGTACCACAACAGCTTACTTGCCAGGCTCATGTGAGCTGGCCCTTGGAGATTTCATAGTCAAGTGTCATGCACTTTACATTAGAGAAGAATCACATCAACCTGTACATGTATCTTGCATTTACTCCATCTCACATCCCGAGGAGTAAGTAGAGTTCCTTTAAGATGACACAGTACTGGATGACAATGTATCATGGCGAAGGTTTTCATGGTATAGCTTAAAATCAATGGTATCCATCGTTATTTGTTTGTCCATGTCCTCTTGTCTTTCCTTAATGGCGGTGATTTCTAAACTGGATCCATGAGTTTCAGCCAGGGACAATGCTTGGTTGGCATCCCTTTGTGCTGCCTGTAGATCGCCAAGCCTGTAATTCAGGTCTGACTTGGCCACAAAGAATTGTATCTTTTGTCGCTCGCTAATTTCATTCGGATAATTCTCTTGAACTTTTTCAAGATAGGTCTTCGCATCTGCGATGCTTTGACTACTGGTCGGTTCTTTCCGGGCTGCTCTTGTGTGGCAATTCAGGTCCAGCAGAGCTAGTTTAAGCAGCCCAGAGAGGTGTTTTTTAATGTAAATGCCGTCATTTTCGAGTTCAATGCAGATTGTTATGCACAGCCTCATATGTTCCTTAGACTGTTTAACTAGCTTTCTGCGTAAAGACCGATCAAGTGAAACAGAAGTAATGTATTTGATCAAACTGCTAGCCTTTTCATAGAATATCAGGGCTGTTAAGAAGCGCGAGTTTACTCTTTGCGAGTTCTCATCAGCAATTGTTATTTTGGAGTGAGCATTTCCGTGCTTGTTCTGTCGTCGGTAAAAGCTGGCGAGGTGTAGATTTGCCATAGATAACAGGAAGTAGAACATCTCATCTTTCACTTTCGATTTCGAGAGGGTGTCCAAAGCTTCTTGGACCATCACTTCTGCCTTCTCCAAGTTGTTACATACATACATACATACATACATACTTTATTTGTCACGTAGGTCGATAAATGGCAGCTAAAAAGCTGATGTGGACCTACAAAACTAAAGAGTGTCTACAAAATTTAAATAATAACAATAACAAGTAGCGAAATTATGGTAAGTAAGAAAGGATGTAAGACCTAGTAATATAATATACAGTTGATTTACAGTAGTAATAAAAAGTAATAAAATAAATAAAAGTAGTAAAATAGCTTTAATATATGTAATTTACAACGTCTTTATTTAGTCCCTGTAAACCATTAAATGTTATTTTATCTAAAATGTCGGATTTTGCTTTGAGAGCAGATTTGAAAGAAACAATGTTCGGTTTGCTCTTCAAGTACACGGGTAAGTTGTTCCATAGAACAGACGCATGGTGAGAAAAAGAAGATCGACGGAAGTCACTTTTAGGGCGTTGCACGAATAGCTTCAGATTGTCCCTTAGATTTCTCAACGGAGAGTGTTTAGTAAACAAAGAGCTTATAGCAGCCGGAGCTCTATTGTAAAATGCCTGATAGGATATAGTGGCAATCCTCTTTTTATAGAAATATGATAAGGACTTCCATTTTGTCGCTGCCAGAACTTCAGTATTGGGGTAGATTCCTTTAGGTTAAAAATAAATCTCGCGGCTCCAATGTGAATGTCTTCCAGTGTCTGAAGTGACTTAGAAGATCCCCATAATGCAATAGAATACGCAATACTTGGAATGATACCTTTGAAATAAATTGACTCTAAGAGGCGATTGTCGAGTCCTTTTAGGTGTTTGAGTTTCTTCACTCTTGCCGAAAAACGTTTGCTCAAAGATTTTATATGTGGCGACCAAGAGAGTTTATTATCGATAAGAATCCCTAAACATGTAGCTTTGGAAACAAATGACAACTCATTTTGCCCTAAACAAATTTTCTGTAGGGGTCCGATGAATCTTGATTTTGATAACAACATTAGTTCACTTTTGCGGGATGAATAGTCATGAAGTTATCCTTAGCCCATTTGTTTAAGTCAACGATCGCTTTCTGTATCTTAAATAAAACTTCATCAACAGTATTTCCAATGCAAAAAACAGTAGTATCATCTGCAAACATTTCAACGGAAGCGTTCGTTGTGGCTCCGGGCAGATCATTTGAGTAAATGCTGTAAAGTCTAGGACCAAGTAAAGACCCTTGGGGTACACCCGTATCTATTTCCAACAATTCTGAGTTTGAACCATTTACGGTGACAAATTGTTTACGATTATCAAGATAATTTAAGAGCCAATCGTAAAAAGAGCCACTAATACCTATAGAGTGTAATTTATCCATAAGAACTGTGTGGTTGACGCAATCAAACGCTTTCCGAAAATCAATAAAGACTACGCCAATAATATTGCTTTCATCCAAGGCTAAACGCCATCGTTCTGTAACGGAAAGTAAGAGCAGCTCGGGTGAGCTTCCTTTTCTGAAGCCCCATTGATTTAAGGAGATCAGATTGTTGCTATATAACTGACGACGACACTTTTTTCAATGAGGATTAATATTTCAAGTTCGAAATCGCCTTTGCTAGCCAAAAGGACGCGATCTGCGAGGCTATTAAACTCCCTGAAATTTCCACTGTCTCGTAAACGATGCAGATTGTTCAAAACAGAATGGAATTTCTTCATCGAGATTTCAAATCCGCGATCGCTTTCCTCTGAAACAGTTCGGAGAATTTCTGTTCCATAACAAGTATCTTCTTCGCTGTCGCTTGAAATAGTTCTAAAGGAAAATTTTGGATTGGCACGGTGTTTGCGTTGTGGGAATCTAATTTTGGTTTGCTTCCTCTTTGTTCCCGTCCATTCACCGTCGTGGTTTACCATTCGCCGACGGCATGAGCTTGTATACATAGTGTTTCCATCTCCAATAACCAAGGTTTCAATATGGCAATTGGAAATGTTGATGTTACAGATTGCGTTTTCTTGAGAGCTTCGTTGATAGACCGCCATTATTATTTTCGTCAAACATCACAGGATATGATGTCACTGGATTAACGGATTTTGATTGGCTCGGTGGAACTGTTGCGCCTGCAGTAAACAAAGGTAAAAATCGGAACTAAATTATTCGAAGATTTTGGCGGTATGTTTTGGCAATATTTTCGAGCTACGTTGTATATGTCCTGTAGGATTTCATTATTTGTCAATTGCCCCGAGAGGAGTATAGAGAGTTGCTTTTAATGGATCAAAAATGAACTACTCGCAAGTAATTGTGCATACTGGCTCTGATTTATAATTACTACTCATGAATCTTTAAGAACCAGGATAATAATAACTTAGTGAGATCAATTCAAGATGGTTCTTGTTCGCATCTTGCGAACCGTCACAGAAAAAAAAATATTTCGAAACAAATATGTTTAAGTACATTTATTTATATTCATTATTACAAAATTGATTCTACTTCTTTTATCGCTTCCAAAAATTTGCTAGCACTTGCATGAAAGTTCAGATGTGACACAACACTTAATTAATAACGATACAGTTTGCTTTAATTTAATGTGGGAACTGAATATTGACGAAGATTACTGTTAAAAGCTAACATTTTGATGTCTGTAGTGATATGATATGCAGTTTCAATGCTTTTATGCAGACTTTGACTATCACAATATGATACCTCAAGCTGTTTACCCCTTAACTCCCATAAGTGATTAACACTTCACTTCTCTCCATAACATCCACACATTATCCAGCAACCATGTAATAAGAACACTCAAACTTTTTAGGTAGAAGTTAGTAGTCTTGATCTAACACAAAATTCTCGTGACTTATCTACAAGGAAATGTGTAGCAGCTAGAGGGGAGAATTAACTATCAGATCTTGGGAGTTAAGGGGTTAACAACCATGAGACTGTTAAGGTATGCTTTACCAAGGTATTGATGTAATTGAGACCATTTGCAAGAAAAGGAGAGACAAAACTGATGAGTGGAAATGAAAAAAAAGCCTTCTCCAAGTTGAAAAGAAACAAGTATTGCATTATAAGCTGAACATACATTCAACAGTAAGCTACAAACATGCAAATGCCATCAACTTTCTGTGTATTCACTCAATTATCAAATCAGGATGGCGATGTCATCGATAGTTCTAAATTTCCAAACTTCTACTCGGCTTATAAACCTGTATGTACACGTGACGATGTCTGTTTTAAGTATTTATTTATTTAGCTTCGCCGGACTAGAATACAATACTTATGTATGTGAAATAAATTATGAGGCGTGGAGACCACTACAGCTTAGCTTACAGTGGATCCCTTGTGTAAGATTGACAACAAGCGACATTTTCTCCCAAATTTTGGGCTTTTCTTCACTCTGTGTGCAATGTAGGATTACAGAAAGTGCTACGATGCCCACCTTACTTAGTCAATGTCACAATTAGTGCAAAATGTATTTACAAGTTTTTTGTATTGATACTGTAAGGAGAACTTATGTCTTTGTCACTCATGGGAACAAAAGGGTTTAAAGTCATTATAAAATGTATACTTCTTACTGGAGTAAAACACTTGAGCCTAATGACTGTGTAACTTCATAAGAACACAGCATGGGGACCTGGTCAACTTAAACCTAAGAACTTAAGATTGTCAGAGGTTTACCTTGGAGGCAAAAAAATGTTTTAACTTTCTTTGCAAGATTTTAAATGATTTGCTTCTGAACTGACTAATCCTCACTACAGCCATTTCAGTTTCAGTCACTATTTACAAATTCTTTGTGGTTTATATTATTAATGCTTCATATGGGTAGATTCTTATTGCAGATTTCTGTACTATGCTATTTCGATAGAGGTGAATAGAAACTAAAAAAGGGCTGTAATTCTAACATTTTGGGAGAGGTTCTTGTAACTGTATGGTCAACAAGACCAAGATCAGATTCAAAGATCTCGTCTTAGCACTATTTTCATTACCATGCTGGCCCAGTGTTTCTCAGAACGCAGTATTAGCCTGAAAATCTCAGTAGTCAGGTTAAAGAAACTTCTCAAAGATCTCACCTCAACTCTATTTTCATCACCTGGCTGGCCCAATTTGTCAAAGAACACAGTGACTTGTAACACTCTAGCATGGCTAGTAGAACAAAACTCTGCAGATTTTGCCTTCATAACTGCAGGTAAACTGAACTGAAAATTTCCCCATGAAATTAAATGTAATGAGAGAATGTATATAACAGAGGGCAAATTTTGTCTTACATACCCCAGCAGCTCACTTGCCAGGCTCTTGGACATTTCATAGTCAAGTGGCATGCACTTTACACTAGAGAAGCATCACATAAACCTGTACATGCATCTTGCATCTACTCCATCTCACATCCCGAGGAGCAAGAAGAGTTCCTTTGAGATGACAAAGTAGCGGATGACAATGTATCATGGCGGGCGTTTTCATGGGATGGTACAAAATCCATAGTTTCCTCCGATGTCATTTGTTTGTCCATATCTTCTTGTCTTTCCTTAATGGCGGTGATTTCTAAACTAAATCCATGGGTTTCAGCAAGGGACAATGCTTGGCTTGCATCCCTTTGTGCTGCCCGCAGATCTCCAAGCCTGTAATTCAGGTCTGACTTGGCCACAAAGAACTGTATCTTTTGTCCCTCGCTCATTTCATTCTGATAATCTTGAACTTTTTGAAGGCTGGTCTTCGCATTTGCGATGCTGTTAATACTGGTCCGTTGTTTCCGGGCTGCTCTTGTGCGGCAATTCAGGTCTAGCAGAGCTAGTTTAAGTAACCCAAAGTGGTGTTTTTTAATGTAAATGTTGCCACCATCGAGTTCAGTGCAGAGGGTTATGCACTGCTTCATTTGGTCCTTCGACTGTTCAACTAGCTTTCTGCGTGAAGACCGATTAAGTGAAACAGAAGAAATGTACTTGGTCAAATTACTAGCCTTTTCATAAAATATCAGGGCTGTTAAGAAGCGCGAATTTACACTTTGCGAATTCTGATTGGCAATTGTAATTTGGGAGTGTGCAGATCCGTGCTTGTTCTGTCGTCGGTAAAAGCCGGCGAGGTGTAGATTTGCCATAGATACCAGGAAGTAGAACATCTTCTCTTTCACTTTCGATTTCGAGAGGGTGTCCAAAGCTTCTTGGACCATCATTTCTGCCTTCTCCAAGTTGTTCTGATAACTGACGACGACGCTTTTTTCAATGAGGATTAAGATTTCAAAGGCGTCATCGCCTTTGCTAGCTAAAAGGAAGCGATCTGCGAGGCTATTAAAGTCTTTGAAATTTCCACTGTCTCGTAGAGGATGCAGATTGTTCAAAACAGAATGGAATTTCTTCATCAAGATTTCAAATCCGCGATCGCATTCCCCCGAAACAGTTGGGAAAATTTCCGGTCCATAAAAAGTATCTTCGCTGTCGCTTGAAGTACTTTTAAAAGAAAATTTTGGATCGGCTCGATGTTTGCGTTGTGGGAATCTAATTTTGGTTTGCTTCCTCTTTGTTCCCCTCCATTCGCCGTTGTGGTTTGTTATTCCTGGGGTCGCTGTTCTTCCTGACGTAGAATATGTGCGTTGCTTAGGATAGTCAAGTCGCCGACGGCATGAGCATGTATTCACAGTGTTTCCATCTCCATTTACCAAGGTTCCAATATGGCAATTGAAAATGTTGATGTTCCTGATTGCGTTTTCTTGAGAGCTTCGTTGATAGACCGCCATTATTATGTTCACTGAAGCGTGGGAAGATCACAGGAGATGATGTCACTGGATTAACGGATTTTGATTGGTTCGATTGAACTGTTGCGCCTGCGGACAAAAGTAAAAACTATGAAGTAAATTCATTCGAAGATTTTGGCGGTATATTTTGGCGATATTTTCGAGCTACGTTGTATATGTCCTGTAGGATTTCATTGTTTGTCAATTGCCCCAAGAGGAGTATAGAGAGTTACTTTTAATGGATCAAAAATGAACTACTCGTGGTAAGGTAATTGTGCATACTGGCTCTGATCTATAATTTCTGCTCATGATTTATTAAGAACCAGGATAATAATAACTCAGTGATATCAATTTAAGATGGTTATTGCTTGCTTCTTGCAAACCGTAACAGGAAAAAATAGTTGTTTCGAAACCAATATGTTAAGGTTCATTTATTTATATTCTTCTTTACAAAGTTGATTCTACGTCTCTTGTCACCACCGAAAATTTGCTAACACTTGCATGAGAGTTCAGATATGACACAACACTTAATTTCAATTATGCTGCTTTAATGCATACAAAAGTAACATCGATACAGTTTGCTTTCATTTAATGTGGGAACTGAATACTGACGAAAAGTACAGTTAAAAGCTAACATTCTGTTGTCAGCAGTGAAATTATATGCAGTTTCGATGCGCTCATACAGGTTTTAACTACCACAATATTATAGCTCAGGCTTTTAACCCTTAAACTCCCATAAGTGATTAACATTTAGCTTCTCCCCAAAACATCCACACCTTACTTAGCCAACATGTTATTAGAATACTCAAACTTATCAAGTAGGAGTTAGTAGTCTTGATCTAACACCAAATTCTCGTGACTTATTTACAAGGAAATGTGTAGCAGCTAGAGGGGAGAATTAACAATCAGATCCTGAAAGTTAAAGGGTTAACAACCATAAGATTATTAAGGTATACCTTACCAAGTTATTGATGTAATATACAAGATCATTTGCAAGAAAAGCAAAGACAAAATTGATGAGTGGAAATAATAAAGGAAAGCCTTCTCCAAGTTGAAAAGAAACAAGTTTTGCATTATAAGCTGAAGAGACATTCAACAGTAATCTACAAACATGCAAATGCCATCAACGTTCTGTGTATTCTCTCTATTATCAAATCACGATGGCGATGTCATCGATGGTTCTAAATTTCCAAACTTCTACTCAATTATCACGATACTTATATAAATGATTTCGGCTTACAAACTTGTATGTACACGTGACGATGTCTATTTAAAATGTTATTTATTAAGCTTCGCCTGACTAGAATACAATACTTATGTACGTGAAACAAATTATGAGGCGAGGAGACCACTACAGCTTAGCTTACAGTGAATCCCTTGTTTAAGATTGACAATAAGCGACATTTTCTCCCAAATTTTGGGCTTTTCTTCACTGTTTGTGCAATGTAGGATTACAGAAAGTGCTTCGATGCCCACCTTACTAAGTCAATGTCACAATTAGTACAAAACCTATCTACAAGTTTTTTTTTTTGCACTATTACTGAATGTTTCACACAATAAACACTGGCCAGTTGGCCTGATAAGAAAATGATTGTGAAATTGAACTTAAAGCATACCCACGAATTATGATAATCTTTGATCAGAATCTGTGGAACTACACGTGTAGTTACTAGAGGTTGCTTTTTCCTGTAGCTTCGATGTTGTTGTTTTAGGAATACGATAGGCTGAGTATCGACAGATTTGGTTCAGATTTTTTTGAGCAAGGACTGTTTCTAACTCAAATCCATATTCCTGTGCAATTTGCAAAGCTTGACATCCATACTCTCTAGCCTTGGAGTAATTCCTCTTGAGGAAGCAAAGTTCCGATCTTGTAATGGCGTGTTTTATTCCTGCAGCAATCGGAATTTCACCGAGAAGCTGGGTACTTCTGTCAAATTCACAGAGAAGCTTTTGAGCTCTTGATGAATCCTTCTTGGGAATGATCTGACGATTGCCCTCTTGGGATGTGGCCATACTTGAAGGTAGGGCTAAACTTGCCAGATAGATTAGCGCAAAGCATTGTCTCGCCGAGTACAAATTTTCACTTGATAGATCTCTGAACCGGTCTATAGAAAGGCCAAAGAACCTTTGTGCCTCTGCTCGGATACACTCTTTGGATTTAATTTTGGCAAATTCCATGTTACAGCGCGCTTGTTCATGGGTGAGAATAGCTACAGCAAACTTGGGTATGGTTAAATTCAAGCCTTTCAGCTTCACTGCACTTTCCTTAGCTTTCTCCAAGCATTTAAACGCTTTGCCTAGTTTCCTCTTGGGCTGGCGTCGAAATATGCTTGCCGAAGCAACATTTGCAAGAACTCTTAAAACATTTCGCAACGCTTCATTGAGTTCACTATTGTCTATGATGCTTACAGCTGCTTTTGCCAATTTTTTCGCTTTTTCTAGTTGTTTTTGATACGTTAACCGCACACCATCTTCTATCAAGAGAAAACATTGAATCTCAGAATATAAATTGTATTTGAAATTTAACTTCCCCAAAGCGTATTCAAATTCTTGCCATTTCCCTCTGTCGCGCAGAGGATACAAAATATTGATTATTTCGACCATTACTTCGAACAATCTTTGACTGCGTGAATCAACTTCGCGCAGTGGCAGTTGAAGGATTTCAGGTACAAGAGGAAACACCTGCGTAACGTTTCCTTGCAAGTCAACGAGGATCATTTGATCTATGTTCGATAGATATATTTTGTTTCCTTCCCCGAGAAGAACCATATCGGATATGATGTTTTTATTTGCAGGTGAGCTTACTTGACGTTCTTGGTTAATGGAGGTCTGCTTCCCTTGCTCTTCAGTAGCATAAACAACCGAAATAGCGTCAAATCCTGTTGCTTGTATGTTGATCGTGTTTTCGTTACCGATGTTAACGAATCGTGCACTGCAAATGTTTATGTTGGCGTTCGTGTTTTTTTTCTGTGCGTTAGCTGTTCCATTCAAGGCCTCACCTCTGCTTCCTCTCTGATTCCGGTTGAGTGCGTTTTCCCGTCTTCTACCAAAGCAGGACAATAAACTCAAAACATTTCCCATGGTAGGTGGACTGTATATTACTGTTTATTACTTCCCATGTGAGGTAAGAGAGAGAAAAGTAAGCGCGATTTTAGCACTCCAACATAAATTAGAACTGATCCATATTGAGCGATTGTCATTTAAAAGCGAAGATCGCGAGTGGAGTCAAATGATTACGTCATGATGCGGGTAACCAATCCGTAATGTGTTTTTGTTATGGTGTGCTGAACATGACCAATGAATGTGTATTTATACTCAAAGTCACAGGGGAAAGGAAACATTACTGTGCATGGCGTTACCTAATTATTTTCTTCGGGAAGGTAAACATTTCTTTATCCAAGAAACTGGACATAAGCATTTCTAATTGTTCGTGGACTCTCTAGTAGGAAATACGTCGTTTCTTTCTTTTTTCTCTTTTCACGTTTCTTTTTCTGGCGCCCCGCGGCGCGGAGGCAGAGTGGAGGTAATTGTTGAGTCCACGAAATTTGCGGCAGCTTGGAAAATAGAGTGAGCAAACGGAGAAAACTTTAACTACAATGTTGGCGGTTTTCATTGTTTTGAACTTTTGGCTTTATAGTGCTCATCAAATTGTCCAATATGTGCAAACATAGCTTGTATCGTCTAGGAAGTGTTGAGTGTGAATCTTTGTTATGCAGTTGCATCCGATCATTTGGCAATGCAACAATCCCATTGTTAGGGAGATTTTGCATTGAATTTTATGAAACAACCCATGCAAAGTTCTCAGACTACAAAATATTGAAGCGAATGTTATTTGGTAAATTCTTTTATAAATTCTGCTCAAGTAAGGTAACGTTTTGAATAGAAATTCTCGTTGCCCTGGTCTCTCTACTTCTTGCCCGTAACCCCAACAATTCACAATTACGTGACACTGAAACATGGATATCCTGCATTGTCCTGAGTTTGAGGATGACACCTGACTTTTGTAAAGATATTTCAATGCACTCTGGCAATGAGGGGAGCTAATTGGAATGAGTCTAATGAAAGGTAACCTCTGTGTCGTTATTACTATAAAATGCAATTAACTGCTGTTATGTAGACTTGAAATTCACAAAATCCTTCCTCCACTGAAAGGAACTTTTGTCGAAGTCTTGTCTGGTTGTTGCTCGAGTGAGGTATTCCTGAGATGGTCATATCAATTACATATTTTTGTAATTCCTCCATGTTTTCATCTATCAACTTTACACGAGTGATATTACAGTTTGGAAGTTCATCTATAAAAGCTTTAAGAAACGAAGTGACTCTTAAGCTTACTTAATCCTCAGAATGGATGTGTTTAGTTACATTGTCAGATTTTGAAATCTTATTTCTCTAATATTCGGTTTTTCCAAATGCGAATTAGTTATGTAATAATTAATCAACAAAAACTATGTTTGTATCAACCAAATACACATTTGTATTTGGTTGATATTACATTTACTACAAGTACATTATAACTTAAGTAGTAGAGACCTTCTCTGATCATGGAAGTCAGAAAGTAGTTTTTTAAAATTTTTGGATTGTTGCTTTCTAAAATTCCAAAAACTGAATTGTCAAAAAGTTTCATAGTTCTCAATGATTGAAACGACCTAGTTATCGCAATCAAGTAAAAATGAAGTGCAAGAAATTTGTTGTTGGTGCTATGTTTGTGATACATGTACATATTAACTAATAGTCAAATAAGTGGCTCAGCTGAATAACAACTTCTTCCTTCTTTGCGAAAATTTCAAGGACAAGTTTTAACGTCAAACCGATGTGGTATCGAAAATATCTGTTTTTCGTGGCAAGTGTGCTGTTTATATACATTTGAGTTTTCCCATAAAGTCCTGTTGAGTGCTTGTGTGGGAAAATTTCAAGGGTAATGTCACTTTAAATGGGACATTTAGGTAAAGTTGTTTGAAACCCATAGGTGTCAGTTTAAGATGGCACTTGCTTTCAAAATTACCCTTTCTTTTGGCAGTGAATGGTATATTATGAAAATTAATGACCTCAGCTGATTGACCAGTCTTTTTTTTTTCCATTTCATTTCAAGCTAGGAGGGATTTGCTTGAGTTACATCAGGGCAAAAGAGACCAAAAAGCAATTTAAAAACAACGGAGGGAAGGAGGAAGAGGGGGAATGGGGAAGAGGTAAACCTCTCCCCCCACCCCTGATGGGAAGGCTACAGTATGAAACAGTGACTTTTCTATCAAGGTCCTAAACTGAGTTTGAGGGAGTGTTTTCTCATCTTTCTATGGTTGTAAAACATGGATCAGCACTACTGGTGTTTCAAACATTTTTAATCTCTAATCTGAGGCTTAAAACTCATGTTAGGCAATTGGTAATAGAATGAGTGTTAAATTAGATGTACTTGTAGATGCGTTTTCTATCATTTCTGCAGCCTATTTAGACCACTCCCAATAATCAGAGTTGAAAAAGAAAATAGACAAAAGCAAACAAGAAGTTATAATTGGTGTGCATAGGCACATGGTCTAGGATTGATCTTGTGTCACCAGAAGTGTCCAAATGCATCTTATTTCACTTGGTATTTAGAGGTGGTTCATTTTCATGGCAAGCACCCAGCTAGGAACCCTATATTTTTTATCAATCATACTCATTCTCAATGCTTGAGAGCCAACTCTGACATACTGGTCAGCAGGGTACAGGTACTAAATGACCTGTCTAACTTGATAAAAACAAATTTTTTTTTCCCATTTCTTAGTAGCAAGAGTATTTGCTTATACACGAATTGGCACACATTCTTTTTTTATGAGACAATAATACCAATTGCCTAGTTAAGTTCAAATGAATGCTAATAAAACTTAATATGTTGACAGGGGGAACAAAATATATTTTGTGTTATCCCTTTCTTCCCAAGTCGTTCCTTTTTTCATTCATAAAATTAATATACTTTTTATTTGCAATTGCAAAATGGAATTGAAGCTGCAGAGGAACATGAATATTTGAAGACATATGTGGCAACAAAGAAAAATTAATTGAAAGATTTCTGCAGAAAGCCTGGAACCCAAAGAAAAACATTAACCAAGTACTGCTAGCTGCCTGCACTGTAGAAGCTTGGCCCTTGCTGCTGGTGCTTATCCCCTAGGATTAATTATGGTAATAGGACAAGTGATTTACAAAATTGGATGACCAAAAAGCAGGAGTCTGGTGAATGTAATTCACATGTATGATTACAGACCAAATTGGACAACACAGAGTTCTCTTACCAATTAATCATAACCATGTTTAATTTTCAAGAAAATATTTTCAATAGAGACATTGTCTAAACTATAAAAGTCCTCAATTTTGGAAGTGCCCCACTTTGGTTGGGTAAATGCTTGTTGCCATGGTTATTGAAAGCAATTATGTGATTAGTGAATTTAACTGAGCAGATATAGTATGATTGGCTGCTTTAACTGTCCGATAAAAGCCAACTATCGGATTTCACTGTCCAATCACATTTCTATAAAATAACTGGTGAAAAGTAAAGCAGCTAATGCACCAACCACAGCTGAGGAAATTGTACTGGTTATGATATTATTACAGGAAAAAACTGCTACTCCTCCCTAAATTGCATTCCAAACCATTACAATATTAAGCTTCAAGTGTTTGCCAGGTTTCCTTAACAGTTTCTTATAAAATAACTGGTGAAAAGTAAAGCAGCTAATGCACCAATCACAGCTGAGGAAATTGTACTGGTTATGATATTATTACTAGAAAAAACTGCTACTCCTCCTTAATATAATATTAAGCTTCAAATATTTGCCAGGCTTGCCTAACAGTTTTTTAAACTTTCATTCCCAATAAGGGTTAAACTCATTATAAAATTTATACTTCTAAGTGGAGTGAAACACTTGAGCCTCATGACTGTGTAACTTCATAAGAACACAGCATGGGGACCTGGTCAACTTTAGAGGTAAGTCTCTAATCCCTGTTAGAGGTATACCTTGGAGGCAAGAAAATTCTAGGAAATACGTTGTTTCTTTATTTTTTCTCTTTTCACGTTTAACAATTAACAATTATGTGACACTGAAACGTGGATGCCCTGCATTGTCCTGAGTTTGAGGATGACACTTGACTTTTGTAAAGGTATTTCAATACACTCTGGCAATGAGAGGAGCTAATTGGAATTAGTCCCATGAAAGTTAACCTTTGTGTCATTATTGCCATAATATGCAATTAACTACTGTTAGGTGAACTTGAAATTCACAAAATCCTTTCTCCGTTGATAGCATCGTGTGTAGAGGTCTTGTCTGGATGTTGCTTGAGTGAAGTATTCCTTAGCTGGTCACATCAACAGGGCGTGAAATTAACTTTTTTTTCTGATAGCCACTTGGCTCCTAAATTCTTCAAAGTGGTAGCCAATTCAAAAAAAGTTAGTCGCCATTTTCAAAGACAAACAAAATCTTTCTTTACGCTGTCAGCGTTCTAGATAGACCCTCCAAAATTAAGTTACGGAAAAGATCTTTAACGTGCTACAAAGTGGACACTAGGATGGATGATATACAACGTTTAGGCTCATCTAAATCCAAGATGGCGTCTAGTTACCAATCGAGAAGCACGTGCTACGTTTTAGAAACAAACTTAACGAGGAAGTTTGCCGCGGATTTATCTTTGCAAATCTTTTTAATTCACTATATCTCTTGGTAAGGTTATGATGAAACGTTCTAGTCGCCAATTTGGCGACTAACTTTCAGGATTTGGTCGCCAAAGTGAAAAATTTAGTCGCATTGGCGCCTGTATTAGGCGGAATTTCACGCCCGATTGATTCAATCGCATATTTTGGTAATTCCTCTATGTTTTCATTTATCCACTTCTCACGATTGATATTACAGATTAGAAGATCATTCACAAAAGCTTTAGGAAACGAAATGACTCTTAAGCTTACGTAATTCTCAGATTTAATGTTTTTAGTTACATTGTAAGATTTTGAAGCCTTATTTCTCTAATATTTTTTCACAGACTAACAAAATTGCATTTTGTGGTCTTAAGTTTAAATTTACAAGTGCTTATTTACACCAAATTTCTCGAGAAAAATCATGTGCTTACGTCTTAATAATATACATGAAAAAATACGAGATAGCTTATCATAATTATGCAGAAGCAAAGCGCTCGCATCAAGTGCAGAAATATTTTATTCGAACCCAGCAAGTGACATTGTGCGTTCGGTCAAAACAACAATATACAACCGGCTCCAAAGCTTCCATCACTATTGTATCAGTATAAGACATCTTCTCACTGCAAGCTATGTCTTTCTTTTCGACCAGGATGAAAAAGTACAGTTCTGCATTGCTCTTGCTTGCCATTACTACACTATCCGCGGGGACAATGCATGGTGAAATGCATAGTGAAGTTCTCAAAACTGCCACTGTCTAACTCGTATGCAAACCATTAGAAACATCTTGCGCATACTTCTAGTTTGCTCCAAATTGGGTGAAATCCTCCCCTCGATTGCTGTAACTGGTTATCCCGATTCCCAGAAACGGTATCTTCATCACTGTTTCTTGAAAGATTGCTCAAAGTCGTGTTCGTAACCGACGACTCGCCGTCATCACGGATTGGTGAGGATTCTTGAGAAGGTGTCGAATTTCCAGAACGGTTGTCATTCACGGTGTTGTGATCACCAATTACCAGGGTTTCAATTTTGGAATTGTCAAAACTGATTGAATATTTACTGATTTGCGCCGGTGAGTGAGGTCGGAAACCCGCCGCCATTTTTTTTTCTTTGACGTCACAGGGTTATTTTTGTATTTACCTTAACTGCGTAAGGTAACTGGTAACAAAAGTGATCAACGGTTGAGTTATTTGAATCGAAAGTGAAAATGGGGGAAATTTTTATAATGGTATGGTGATAATTTTCTGCATTTGGCCCATTTGGGCCGTTGTTTTACACACTTTTGATAAGACTGGCCAATCACTCACAACTCAATCGCTTTTATATTGAGCTAAAAATTGGCTGCAAGTAAGTAATTTTGCATTTTGTGATTGTGATTCGATCAAACCGTCAGATTAATTGTTATTATGTTAGCACACTGTTACTTTTAAAAGATGTTTACTGCAAAACTTTAAAGAAGAACCAAATTTAAGGCAAAGATCGTGGGTTAAATTTAATCCTAACATTTCATGAGTGCGTTCACTTCCAGTCTTTCTTCGACACCATTATTTGATATGTTGCAGTCAACTTAGTTGTGATGCAACACTGTTGCATCAACCCTAAATTTGTGAAATGTGTGTTATTATACTTATCTATATTATTATATTATTAGGTCTTTAATTTGAAGCTTTTGTTTCTGTTTTGAGGTTAAAAGCACTTTAATTTCCTTTCATGCAGGGGAGGGGAAGGGGGTACTTGGGTCAACTTTTGCTGGTTGTGAAGCAGCTGGCTTCCCAGAACACCTATCCAATTTTAGTCTATTCTGTGGTCAATAATAGACCTTATCTTAGTCACTTTTGGGCAAATTTAATTTTCGTGATCCAAATTCAGCAAATTTTTTGTTTATGCATCTAGCTACTTTATAAAGCTTTTTCTTAATGTAAGCCATTTTTAAACTCCTACTTACCAGAATTTTCTTACTCCAAAAATCCCGAAATTGTGTGACTTCATTTTAGAAACTTTATTTAAAAAGCGACCCAATTATAATCAATCCAGTCGTGAAAAGTCGACCCCATTCCCATTGTCCCATAACCAGGAATTAAACCTCCTCCTTCAGCCTCTCACCCTTGCACTATTTGTGCACAGTCCCCGTCTTTAAAAGAGAGGAGCTTGCTTGAACAAAGTTCCCTGCGGAAGACCATAGGAAAATGTCCATGGAACATTAGTTACCTTAGTCTGAAAATTGATTCTTGGGGTTTCCTGATTATCTACAGATAAAGATTTTTATTTAACATCAGCTAATGATTAAATTGGCCTGGCTGTTTTCACGTATAAAACACATATTTCTCTCGTAAAGATAATTCCACAAAAGTCCAGTTGGATTCTCTGAAACATCAATATTGTTAGTTATGAAATATTATTTACAAAAGCCACAAATATGTAACTTTTTTCCTTCAGCGTGAGCTAAGGGACTGAGGTGGCCTGGTTGGTTAGGAGATATAACCATATATGTATCTTGTATCGGTAATTACACATAACATTAATATTTGAATTCTATTTTTTATCAACTTTCTAAATAATAAAATCATATTTACAAAGCCAGCAAAGAAAGATTTTTGATTTACATTTAGCCAATGATTGAATTAACCTGATAGTTTTGACTAAAATGTACGTCTCTTGTGAAAATAATTCAACCCCTCCTCCCTAAACAAGACAAAAAATAAGTAGATTCTGTATTTTGTCAACAATGCGTCAATGAAATATTTATAAAAGCCTCAAAATGTTAAAAGTATTTGATTCAACATGACATAATGGTTGAATTATTTATGTTTATCTTATAAACATGAACGCCTCTTTTAAAGATAATTCTACTTTTATTAAAATGATTGAGTTCTGTATTTCTCCAATATTTTTGTAATAAAACACTATTAACAAAGGCCACAAAAAAATATTCTTGATTCATCACGGGTCAATGACAAAAAAACCTATTTATTTTTTGTTTAGTAAAAAAATCGAAGGAAAATTCAAAAACAATTTTGTGTAATAATTAGATAACGTTCAGCAAACTGTTCTGAAAACTATTTAACTCTTCATAATTACGCCATTAGTCCTAAGGAACCATTCATGAATTATCGCCAGTGGGGAGGGGTTGGGTGGTCGAAGGATTTTTTTTTTGGGAGGGGGGGATGGGGAACATGGTTTTTCAGGGGGAATGGAGGGGTGATCTGTCGTCGCCAGCAGAGTATAAAGAGAATAGTATAGAAAATCGACAGCCAGTAAGAGAGGATCACAAGAATACGTCAGACCCTTTGGGGGATAAGGTAAATTTTTACTGTAACACAATCGAAATCCTTCTAGATTTCCTCTGCCTCCCCCAGGCAATGAATAAGGATGGGTCCCTTATGCAATTTTGCTCAAACAGTTGCGAGTATGAAGTTTTTTTTTTGTTCTTTTCCTTTTTGTGTAACAAAAAATACAAAAGTTTGCGTGAGTGATACCCCTCAGTGATATAGAAAAGTGTAAAACTCAAATTTTGCTTATTTAAAGACCTGCTAGTTCAACTTGCCACAATCTACATCGTATGACAGGCGCTATGAAGATTAGTCAGATCTGGACGCGCTCTGAGCCGAATCCGTCATGGTGGTAGAATTGCAGGCGTACCTGCTGGCAATATTTTAAACCTGTAGCTTAGCTTGTGATGCTCTGGAGACACATCGATCGATCTGATTTTGGGCTGGGCCAATTTCTAATTCAAATCCATACTGTATTGCCATATTGAGAGCTTTACCTGCATGTTCTTCTGCTCTGGAATAATTCCCCGCGAGAATACAAAGTTTTGACTCCATCATGAAATACTTTATTTTTGCAGCTACAGGTGTGTCTTCGACTTGATTATGGCCTCGAGTGAACTCCTCAAGGACCTTTTTGTTTGTGTCACTGACGACCTCTTCGATGCACTTGAATTGGGAATAGATAAACGCGCCAGATCAATTAGGGCAAAGTGCTGCCTGGCAGTATATAAACGATTGTTATGCGAAAGGTTTTCGACAAAGTCGATGGATAAGCCCAGAAGCCTGCGTGCCTCTGTTTTGGCACTCTCGGCGTTAGGTTTCATCTCGGCAAATTCTGAGTAAAGGCGCCCTTGTTCGTAATCAAGTAGACCTAGAGCATATATGGGAATCGTTAAATTGATTCCTCTCAACTTTTCACCGCTTTGCTTTGCGTTTTCGAGGCAGTCACTCGCGCATCCTAGCTTTTTCCCTTCCTGCCCTTCGCGCCGAAATATGCTTGCCAAAGCAACATGTGCAAGCAGATGCAAAATTTCACGTGACAGTCCGTCGAGTTCACTATTTACAATTTGTAAAGCATCTTCCGCAAATTTTCTTGCTTTCTCTAATCTTTTTCGGTATGTTAGCCCAACACATCTCTCGAGCACGAGAAAACATTTAATCTCTGGTCGGCTTTCATATTCTGACTGGAGCAGATTCAAAGTCTGGTCGAATTCATTCCATTTCCCTTTGTCTCGAAGTGGATGAAGTTTATCGACTATTGACGCCATTTGCTTAAACACCTTTACAAGTTGAGGTGCAACTCCCGGCGATGGCAAATCATACGGCTCTCTAATTTCGTTTCTATCCCCGACAATTACATGGTTATCTGTCATGCTCCGCATATCTTTTCCTGATGGCTGGCGGAAATCAATGTTATTGTTATCGCCGATCAGGACAATACCGGAATCGCGAATGTGTATTTGTAGGTTGTACGTTGCGCCGTTAACGGACTCGATCGCTGGTTTTCCTTTACCAACTTGGTTTCGGTTTTGATCTGCACTGTTGAGCTCTGAATCGCTGAAATAAACGGTACCTTGAGTACGGATGCACTTCTTAATTTCATTGTGTTGCGTATCGACGTTTTCGTCGCTTATAGCTTTTACGTTTGGCAAAAACTTGCTAGTCCGACTTTGAACGCAGCTTCTCAGGAAACTGAAAGCACATCCCATTAGAGTGGTGAATACAAAACTCCTGCTTCGTAAAACACGACTAACCTTTCATTTCGAGTACCAGAGAGAAAACCATCTCGGTCACTGTGTTTATTGTTGTTTGTCTTTCTCGAAAGACTTGTCGCATATCTTTTCGCACTAAGGAACCAAAGTGCGTTTTGCAATTGCGTTATGAATAATATCACTCTGATTTGCCATCAAAAAGTGCATGACTGACACTTGATTACTTTCTGCTAGCCACGTGCGCAGGTTCTCTGAAGTTGCTCACACAAGTGGACCTTTAAACTACATGCTTCCTTTAAGGAAGGATTGGTTCGAGTTCGGGGAGTCGACTGTATGCCTTCTATACCTGATCGTTGTTGTTCGAAACAATTTTCTTGCAAATTAACAATCTGTTGACTTCTAAGGATATCAGAGAGGTCACGGTAGTTGTTAAAGGTGTTGCTATTACTAAGTACCCGATATATAGGGAACTTCAGGTGTTTGACTTTGATCGGTCTGGGAAAACTGCTTCTCTTGCAGAGGGTTTGATAAACGAAAGTGAAACGCTGAAACCCGTACACGTCAATTTTTTATTTCTTTTTCTCTGTCTTAATGTGTTTGACTGTTTGGACTTCTAATGAAATGGCATCTAATTGAAATTTAACATTTCAGAGCTCTTTAAATGAACTACTGAAACCTAGTTTTCGTAACTGGAGACGCAATTAGCATTCAACAGGTAAACCATCAATTTGTAGCGAACGCACAAGGTTGCAAACAACTCACTCCTTATGTAAATAAATGGACAGTTTTCTCCCAAAAAGTTATAATTCTACCTAAATTTTCCAGAAGCAGGAGACAACTTGCTTTCAGTCTCACAAGAGAGTAAATGCGAGATAAAACCTTCACACTGAAACACAAATTGACTTAGCCTTTTCCGATGGTCGATTTACACAAATTTGTCCACTAAACGAGCCGACCACATCAACGCTATTAATTAAGGTTGGCACAAAATCAAATTGACTATAAGAGTGAAAATACTTTACTCATTAAAAAAAAATATTGTGTAACGTATAGTCGATAAACTACATCTTTTTGCGCACTTTCAATTAAGCTGCAGGTGTTATTTTAGCGTAATCGGCTGGATTTTCTCAACTTTCTCACTCGACAACTAAATATTGTTTTGCCTTACGTCTGAAATTTAGACCCTACTTTCAGTCAGCCTCAAATCTCCAGTCAAACAATGTTGAAAATATACAACTCCAGAAAACCCAAAGTAAATTTTAGGTTCGCCTTTACAATGTTTCATCTTCTTGCTGTCTTGAAGGTCCTTTCGCATCCGCCGCTTTATCACGGATCGCCACATTAAAGGCGTAGTTGAACTTAATTTTATTCAAAAAGTGTTATCCTAGTCCCCCCTTAAGAGAAATAAATTACCATAACTTATCCAGTTCTTCCCAGTAAAGTTTATGGCTTAATCCTTCATTCTTGGAAGCTTTTCAGTGCCTCTGTAATCAATTGTGAGGTTTTTTTTTAAGGAAAACACTTCTTGAACCTCTAATTCCATAGTTAGGAAAAATTGCACCCTTACTAATAAACCCCAGCTTGTTTTTAGACAATATAGGGGAATTTAGACGCTTCTAGGACATAAGCTTCCGATATAAGTTAACCGGAGTATTATTGGGAAAAATCAGTGTTCTCATTCTCAGGCGGTAACCAGTAACATTTACCGCCTGTAGTACCTCTTATTACCGTTTAAATTGCTTGGAATTCTTGAAAATTCAATAGGTAAAATGATTACTTTACCGGTTTGAAAATGTATTTTACCTGTCATGCGTAAAATAAGGGAGAACAATGAAAAAATCCCGGGAGGACAAATGTCTTTTACAAAATTGCCTTGATTATGCTCTCGCTTGTTTATCGACCTTTGCTCACTGTGAACGAAATCCTTTAGACGTAACGCAGGACACTGACTTCCAAACTGTTGCTTCTACTACTTGATATGGTGATACAACTGAGTGAAGTGCTTTTAGTTGTTGCACCAACTTTTTCCTCAAGCGGCTGGTCCATGGTTCAAACCGTCCATCCTGCCACTCACTAGATTTATACTAGATTTATAGCTGGATTTCGCGCATTGTAATGATTTTAGCATTGCTGGCAAAGTAACCACACTCAGTATTTTCTGTATTACAGAAAAGGAAAGCATTCTGTGGATGTAAAGATATTTCATTGCTCTCTGTCAATGAGAGGAGCTAATTGGACTGAATCCAAGGAGAGGTAACGTCTTTGTCATTATTGCCATAAAATGCAATTAACTGCTGTTATGCAGACTTTAAATTGCAAAATCCTTTCTCCATTGAAAGGATAGTGTGTCGAAGTCTTGTTTGGATGTTGCTCGAATGAAGTACTCCTGAGTTGGTCATATCAATTTAATATCAATTGATATTAATGTCAATTTATTATGAATTGACATTAAAGTTTAGAAGTTCATCTATAAAAGCTCTAAGAAACGAAGTGACTCTTAAGCTTACTTAATCCTCAGAATGGATGTGTTTCGTTACATTGAAAGATTTTGAAGTCTTATTTCTCTAATATTCGGTTTTTCCAAACGTGAATTAGATCTGTGATAATTAATCAACGAAAACTAGTACACATAGACACATCAGTCTGTATTTGATTGATCTTACATTCTCTACAAGCACATCATTATGATGATTAAAACTTAGGGAGTAGAGACTATTTCTGATCCCGAACTTCCGGTATCTGTTCGAGAACTTCAAGGATAAGTTTTATCGTCATAGTGATGTTGTATCAACAATATCTGTTTTCCGTGGCAACGCACAGATCTGAGTTGACCAATAAAGTTCTTTTAAGTATTCGCGAGGCCGAGCACGCAAGGAAGTTGATCATGAGTACTCTCGATTTCTCCAGCCACTCCAAAGCTTCCATAAATATTGTATCGGTATATGACCTCTTCTTATTGCAAACTATGTCTTTCTCTTTGCTCTAGCTTGCCATTAGCACACCATACTGCCACTGTCTAACTCCTATGCAAATTACTAAAAACATATTTCGCAATACCTGTAGCTTGCTCCAAATTGGGTAAGATCCGTTCTTCGGTTGCTGTGACCGGTGATCTCGTTTCTCAGAAACAGTTTCCTCATTATTGTCTCGTGAGAGATTGTCCAATGTCGTGTTGACCCGCTTTCCCTTCGTAAACGGCGACTCGCCGCTATCGAGGATTGGTGAGGATTCTTGAGAAGAAGGTCTCGATCGTCCAGAACGGTTGTCATTCACGGTGTTGTAATCACCCATTACTAGCTTATCAATTGTGCAATTGTCACATTAATAGAATATTTACTGTTTTGTGCCGGTGAGTCTGGTTGCTTGTGAGCCGCCATTGTTTCTACAAACGATTGACGTCACAGGGTTATTTTCGGATTTATCTTAATTGCATAGGGGAACTGGTAACCAACGTGATCAACTGTCGAGTCAGATCATCGAATCGAAAGTGAAAATGGGGGAAGTATTTATACAGATATTGTGATAATTTTCTGTATTTGGCCCATTTGGCCCGTTGTTTTACACACTTTTATCGAGACTGGCGTATCACTCACAACTCAATCGCTTTTATCGAGCTAAAAATTGGCTGCAAGTAAGTAATTTTGCGTCTTTGATCTGTGATTGTGATTTGATCAAACCGTCACGTTAATTATGCTAGCACACTGTTACTTTTAAAAGACGTTTATCGTAAGAGTTAAGACAAGAATCACATTCAAGGCAGAGATCGTGGGTTAAATTTGATCGTAACATTCCCATGAGTGCGTTCACTTCCAGTCTTTCTTCGACACCAATTTTTACTTATCACTTAGATGTGATGCAACAATCCAACCCGTAAATTTGTGAACTATGTTTTAGTATACTTATCCTATAAAAAGAACTTATGATGTTATTAGGTCTTTAGTTTGAAGCTTTTGTTTCCGTTTCGAGCTTAAAAACACTTTAACTGTTATTCATGCAAGGGGTGGGGTACTTGGGTCAATTTTTTCTGGTTATGATGCCGCCGGCTTCTCAGAACACCCACTCAATTGAAGTCTCTTCTGTGGTCAATAATAAACCCTGCCCTAGTCACTTTCCAATGTAACTTATGTTTTGTTTATGCATCTAGGCACCTTATAAAGCTTTTTCTTAACGAGGCCATTTTTAAACCCATACTAGCCAGAATTTTTTTTTCCAAAAATCCTGAAATTTTGTGACCTCATTTAAGAAGCTGTATTGAAAAAGCGACCCAATTTTAATCAATCAAGTCCTAAAAAGTCGACCCCATTCAGTGGCAAATTCCCGTGAGCCTATTAAGAGGAAATAAACCTCCTCCTTCAGCCTTTCATCCTTGCACTTTTTGTGCACAGTCCCCCTCTTTAAAAGAGAGGAACATGCTTAACCCTTTAACTCCCAGATCAAATTTGTAATTCTCTTTTTTGTCAACCATACAGTTCTTATAATGCTGGTGCAGAGAATTTAGTATTGAATCAGCTAACCATCTCCAAATTGATATGCTTCTTAATTCTCATCATTTATCTGGTTGATATTGTATTGATATTGTAAGGAGAAATTCTGTCTTGGTCACTCATGGGAGTTAAAGCCACAAAATATTAAAGATTTTTATTTAAAATAAGCTAATGATAAAATCGGCCCTGCTGTTTTCATTTATAAACATATATTTCTCTTGTAAAGATAATTCCACTAAAGTCCGGTTGGATTCTATGAAATATAAACACTGTAAGTCATGAAATATTACTTACAAAGGCCACAAATTTGTAAATTTTAGCTTCAACGTTAGCTAAGGGACTGAAGTAGCTTGGTTGGTTAGGAGGAATAAACATATAAGTGTCTTGTATTGGTTCTTACACCAAACCATAAATATTTAAATTTTATTTTTCATCAATTTTGTAAGAAAGAAAATCTTATTTACAAAGCTAACAAAGATGGTAGATTTTTTTAAAATTTAGCATAAGCTAATGATTGAATTAGCCTCATAGTTTTGACTAAAATGTACGTCTCTTGTGAAAATAATTCTACTCTCCCCCCCCCAAACGAAACAAAAAATAATTAAATTCTGTATATTGCCAACTATGCGTCAATGGAATATTTACAAAGGCCTCAAAATGTTGAAAGTGTTTAATTCAGCACATCTAATGATCGAGTTGGGCCCATTTATGTTAGTCCTATAAACACGAATGTCTCTTTTAACGATAATTCTACTTAAAACAAATTAATTCTGTATTCCTCCAATATTTTTGTAATAAAACACCATTTACAAAGGCCACAAAAGAACATTTTTATATAATTTTTCCATAAGGAAGGGTCCCTGTTGCAAAGATAATTTTGCTAAAACAGCTGGAAATGTGGAGTTTTTTTCTTCCTTTTCCTTTTGTGTAGCAGAAAATACAAGAGATTGAGTGAGTGAAACCCTCAGTAATATAGGAGAGTGAACCTCTCGAATTTTGCCTATTTAAAGTCCTGCTGGTTCAAATTGTCACAACCTTTATAGTATGAAAGGCGTCATGGAGATTAGTCTGATCTGGACGCGCTCTGATCCGAATCCGTCGTGGTGGTAGAATTGCAGGCGTACCTGCTGGCAATATTTTTAACGTGTAGCTTAGCTTGTGATGCACTGGAGACACATATGCGATCGATCTGATCTTGGGCTGGACCAATTTCCAATTCAAATTTATATTGTTTTGCTTTATTAAGAGCTTTACCTGCATGTTCTTCTGCTCTGGAATAATTCTCCTCGAGAAAGCAAAGTTTTGACTCCATCATGAGGTACTTTATTTTCGCAGCTACAGGTGTGTCTTCGACTTGATTATGGCTACGACTGAACTCATCAAGGTACCTTCTTGTTTGTGTTACTGACGACTTCTTCGATGCCCTTGAATTGGGAATAGATAAACACGCCAGATCAAGAAGAGCAAAGCCCTGCCTAGCTGTATATAAACGATTCTCATCCGAAAGTTCTCTACAGCGGTCGATAGAAAAGCCCAGAAACTTGCGTGCCTCTGCTTTGGCACTCTTAGGGTTAAGTGTCATCTTGGCAAATTCTGACCAAAGGCGCCCTTGTTCGTAATTAAGTAGAGCTAGAGCAAATTTGGGAATCGTTAAATTGATTCCTCTCAAGCTTTCGCCGCTTTGCTTTGCGTTTTCGAGGCAATCACTCGCGCTTCCTAGCTTCTTCCCTTCCTCCCCTTCACGCCGAAATATGCTCGCTAAAGCAATATTTGTAAACAAACCCAATATTTCACGTGACAGCCCATAGAGTTCGTTTGTTACAATTTGTAAAACATCATCCGCAATTTTTCTTGCTTCCTCTAATCGTTTTTGGTATGTTAGCCTTACACATCTCTCGAGCATGAGAAAACACTTAATCTCTGGTTGGCTTTCATATTCTGACTGGAGAAGATTCAACTTTTTGTCAAATTCATTCCATTCCCCTTTGTCCCGCAAAGGATAAAGCGTATCGACTATTTTTGCCATTTGCTCAAACACTTCTTTAAGTTGAGGTGCAACTCCCGGCGATGGCAACCGATATGGCGTCGAATATAAACGCCTATAGCACTCTGTTTTGCCGTTCATTTGACTAAAGTCAATTGTATCGTTCGGTTTTCGATGACGCATGAGGGAGTCGTATGTGGACACTCGATCACTTCTAGACGGCACTTTAATTTCATTTCTATCTCCGACGATTACATTGTTAGCTGTGATATCAATGTACGCAACTGGAGCTGTCGTAGAGATCTGGGTTTTCACGTCCACCGGTGCCGTTGTTCGGTTCGTCATATCCATTGGAGGAGCATCGACCTCTGTAATGCTCCCCATATCTTTTCCTGATGGCTGGAAATCAATGTTATTGTTATCGCCGATCAAAACATTACCGGTGGAATCGCGAATCTGTATTTGTAGGTTGTACGTTGCGCCGTTAACAGACTCGATCGCGGCTTTCTCTCGGTTTTGATCAGCGCTGTTGAGCTCTGAATCGCTGCAACGAACGCCATCTTGAGTACGGATGAAGTTCTCACTGTCATTTTGTTGCGTATTTACGTTTTCGTCGTTGCTAAAAGCGTTTACGTTTGGCTCTGACTCGTTTGTCCGACTTCGGACGTAACTTGTCAGGAAACTGAAAGCACTTCCCATCAGATTGATGAATATAAAATTCTGTTTCGTAAAATACGATCAGCTTTTTGATTTCGGGAACGAGAGAGGAGACTATCTTGGTCACTTAGTTTGTTATTGTAGACGTGAATCTTCAATATGGCAGTGTCTTTCGGGATATCCATGTCTCGGTGACGTCTGATTGTTCTCCGGAAGTTACCTAATCGCGCTAGTGGACATTTAAACTACATGTTCATTGACCCATGATACCGGAAAAATTGCCTTCTGTTACTGTTAAACAAAATCCAGTAGCTCCCTGATGACTCGAACCTTCCAGGAAAAAATATTAAGTTATTTGGAGTGGAAAACAAGTGGCAGAAAATAAAAAAAGAGACGCAATTTTTTTCTTATTCCTGTTATGACTTGCCTTATTGGGTATTGACAAACAGGGTCCGAATTATCGAGGGTAAATTAAAATTGTAGTAAACGACGAACAAAAAAATCAAGGGTTTTTCTTCGAGTAAGCCGCGGCGTTGTTTCGAGTTTTAGGGAGTCGGTTTTAGGACTTCTATCCTCAATAGTTGCAATCTAAACAATATTCTTTCAAGTTTACAATCTGTTGACTTCTAAGGAAGTCAACAGATTGAGACGCGTGGTAATTAATGGTGTTGCTATCTCTAAATATCCGGCCAAGGTGTTTGTTGTAGGATTTGGGAATAGTAACGTGGAATATTTCCCAGAACTTGGCTGATAAACAAACCACCATTTCTACGTGCGCGGGGGAACACCGAATGTGGATATCAGGAACTTCACGTGCTCGACTTTGATTGGTCTGGTAAAACTGCTTCACATTTGCAGAATGGTTGATAATCGAAAGCGAAAACGGTGAACCCGTGCTCGTTAATTTTTTTAATTTCTTTTTCTCTGTCCAAACGTGTATTTTTGTAAAATAGTTTTGTATTGTTACGTACTTGCTTTGTGCAATTACAGTTTTATCCGCTATTTTTCTTTCCCTATGAATTCAAACAAACCCACACGATCGGGAAAAATTTAAAAGATTGACCGTTCATACGACGTCTTCATTCAGCTTTCGAAACTGAAATAAGCTGCAACGCAAATCCAATTGTATTTTCACAACGATAACGCTGAAGAATTTACAGGCAGCAAAACCGCGAACGGTTAGCACCACAAAACTTTCAATTTCCTCTTTTATTTTAAACAATTCTCCTTTTGTTTTGTAGAAAACTTTAAGATCTCCACATTCTAAGAAAATAAAATATCGTGTCTGCTTTTTTTTTTTTAACTCGTGATCTCAAGTTTTGAAGATAAACGCAGAACTGAGCTTTCTAGTTAGTAAGAATTCCAAGAATTGGTTGTAAGGGGTTAATTTGGGAGCAATTTTTTCCCGGAAAACATTTGGTTGTATGTACAGTTAGATGAAAAGGAAAAAAAAAACGTGCATTATTCTTACACCTTTCGCTGAATTTTTGGCCACAAAAAAAAAAAAAAAAATTAAGAAAAAATAAAGCGAGTCACCCGGCCCTTGAACAAACGCTTCTGTTCGTAGAAAGACGCGCTGGATCTTCGGCTTTTTCAAATCGGGCCTTTTTCCAAGAAGTATCATCATACAATAAAATCGAATGTAAAAATTAATAACAATGATGTTGTAACTTGTAGTTTTGCCAATGGGTTTTGGTTGAAGGTAAAATTCAAGAGCGTTAAAAGGTATTTATCGTGGACGAACTAAAATGTATGTTTTCAAATGTGGTTTTAGATTTGTGTCGCTCTTCCGATTGAATACAACTAAGATTGCCATCCTAAACACTATTTGACATTGATCCAGCCTCTGACCAGCCAAATTAGTCGGCAACCCTCAAACGAGATAAACCTTTATTTTCAAACTTAAAACGATCTCTAAAGTTAGCGGGGGTCAGTTAATTGTGTATGTGTGCATTGCAAAGACATAGACTGAGCGATATTTATGAAGTGTTTTCCAGAACTTGACTCTGTTTTGTCTGCGGTTTCTCTATGACAGGAAAAAAACAGCTTACTAGTAGTTTATCTCTTAAACAATCAGTGAATCTCTCACCGTAATCGCCTGTCTAATATGAGGTGTGTGAGAGCATTTGACTCTGTTCAGACCGCCGCTTCTCTAGGAAAAGTAAACCAGACAGGATACTTTGCCCCTTAAACAAACTGTTAATATCCCACCGTGATCGCCGTACCGTTTAACCAAGGTAACTTACCCCTATACTCTGCCTGTTCCTCATCGGGCCAGGATCACTTCTAGCCGCTCTCTTTGCTGAGGAGTGTTCTCTCGTTGGAGGTGTCACAATTGGAGTTGTAGAAGTGCTGGCACATGCTGTAGGCGCTGGAGACACAAACAAATAATGAAAGATCTAAAATTGTTCAGATCATACAATTATTCCGGCATGCTATTGAAGTTCAACGTTGGCTAAAAGCTAAGCTGACTTAAGTACAAAAGACAGCAAAACAAGAATGTCGACTCGACTTTTCGAGCTTCTAGAGGAAGGAAATCGTTCACTCGACCTTATTCTTCGAAAATTTCTCGCCAAATCGAACTTAAAGCTATTCCATTTGAAGAGCATTCATCAGTCTGTTAATTATTAAAATTTTATTAAAATTTCTTTTTCTCTGCCGAAACGTATTTTGATTGTTTGGGCTTTTTATGACATAATTTTGGCAAACTTATTTAATCACTCAGAGTTGCTTTATGGCTAAGAAACTGACTACAAAGCGATTGACCATTTGGTGAAAAGCCATTGTTACGGAAAATATGCATTAAATATTAGTTAACTGAAGATGCCAAAATTGAGTAAATTTTTTTCATAAACTTCCCATGATTGTGATTTTTAAGTCATGCCCTCGCTTGTTGATTGACCTTTGCTCACTTAAGTCGAAATCCTATCTTTAGGCGTAACGCAACATACTGATTTCCAAACGGTTGCTTCTACTATCTGTTATGATAAGAGACCTGATTGAGGAGCTTGTTTCTAAAGCGGCTGCCGATGTTCTAGTAGGCGACTGTGCTTGAAAAAGGGTCGTAGAGCGAAGGCCAAACACGAGAGCCTGCTCGCTGCTTGGAGGCTAAACAGACGGCGGCGGTAAGAGATCTTTTTGGCAGAGTTAATAGTAAAGGAAAGCCTTCTGTGTTGTTATTATGGATAGCCAAGCAAACCATAGTCTTCTGACCAGTTGCTTTTAACCCTTTAACTCCCAAAAGTGATTAACATGTAACTTCTCCCCGTAACATCTAGACTTTATCCGGCAAACAGGAAATGATGACACTCAAACTTATCTCGATCTAATAACAAATTCTCGTAACTTGTTTACAAGGAAATGTGTAGCAGCTAGAGGGGAGAATTGGCAATCAGATCTTGGGAGTTAAAGGGTTAATCAATCTCTGTTTTCCAGTTGATGTTAGAGACCTTATTCACTCAATATTTGTATTGTTGAATAATCATTGGCTGTTGAACAGTCCAATTTGACCTGTCTGCTTACAAAAGTTTGTAATTTTACAAGTCAAATTCGTGCAAAAGACAATGCACCAAGAAATTGAAGGCTGTTTGGAACCATTAAAATTCAAGCATTTTTTCATCGACACAATGATACATAATTTTGATATTGTTCTTACCCTAATGGGTGAACTATTTAAAAAGTGTCTCATTCCAAGCTTATTTAGTGTCACTTTATAAAATTAGATATGACATGCAGAGATACATTTTATAATGAGAAAGCCCACTAACAGGCATATATAAATATTTCTACTAATTCATTACTTTGTCAAAGTGTAACGGTGACATCTTTTCAAAATGTTGATCGAGTAGGCCTATCATCTTAGATTGGCTTCTATTGGGTAAATTAACTAGACGGATCTACCATCCTTAATTTTAATTTCATTTGCATCATTTAATGATTGTCTCTCTGTTGAAGCAAAATTAATTTCAGGTGGAGAGGTTATATTATTAATAGTCTCCTTGATTAGAAATATTTCTTGTTCACTCTTATTGGTCAACGTTTACATTACTTTACTAGAGAACCTCACCCTTAACTCTTCTAACTTCTTAAGTGTTATTTGCATTATGTATGTAGAGGTGGTAAGAACATTTCCAATTTTAAGCTTATGAATTGGGTTTTTCTCTGTATGTAATATGCAGTTTCAATCTTATGGGAATACTTCCAAAATCTGAGAACCTTTTCTAAAGCTCTATCTGACGTTCGCTTAATTCTGGACATATCTTGAAGTCTGCTATATTAAATTATCCTGTCCAGGTTGGTTATATCCTCGGGGTATTAAGATATTCTCTACTTATTTTCTAATATAAATAATTTTTACAAATATTTTTTTCATGATTAAAACAAAAGTTTGTTTAAGATATTCCGCGTATCCATTATCCAATTGAAGTGAATCTCTTCAATTGGATAATGTTTAAAGCTGTAACAAATAAAATGCTTCGTAAGTTCACTCATTCCTATGGATAACTATTTGAGTTTGACTTAAATAGATGCATGCTCTCAGGAAAGATTTACATGGAGGAGGATATGTTGTTCGCGAAGATCGTTTCACACAAGTTTGATTTCTCTAAACTCCGTTTAATAAATGGGCAATGTTTCAATAAACATCTTCAGGTTCTCACTACTATAAGCATGTATAACCAGTTCTGCTGCATTTTCAAGATAAGTTGTGGGGTTTACATGAAACATAATCAACGATTAAATCTTTATTTACGCACGCCCGTGTGTAAATAAGATGACGTGAGCATTTTTTTTTACCTGGCTTAAGAGTTTCCGTCCTGTGAAGCTGCAGTGTAGCTTTCCTTCTCTTTGAAATATGGAAGAAACCAGCGAAGAACTGCCCAGTTTTTCCTATGAGCATTGACCTTTTAAGTCCTGATCCAACAAGCATCAAACTCAAACCCGAAAAAAACTCGGAAGTTGCACGTTTCGCAAATTGACACGAGTTCATTTGGCTTTGATTTTCTCCATTTTCTCCGTAAATTTTGAGCTTTTCATTCACAGTTATCGGTTCACTGGATCAAATGATCTCGCTCAAACCAAAGTATAAAATGTGACGTGTTTTTTACCAGCCAATAGGGACGTTTGTTTACTTTCTTTTGTGCATTGTGAGAATTTTGCACTCTATCACAACAAAAGACTTCTTCGCGCGGATCCTTGTTGTCGCTCTGTTATAAAAGAATTTGCTCATGCTTTTAGCTGTGCGTATATCGAGTTATGGATGCACTTGGGAAGTTTGGAGAGCACTCAAAAGGCTGGAGTCGCTCTCGGCTGCGCCTCGAGATACTCTTACGCATTTTGCGTGCTCTCCAAACTTCCCGCGTGCATCCATAACTCGATATACGTACGCCAGGCATGAACAAATTCTCAAATGACGCTTTTAAAAATTGGCAGAAAAATGAATCCTCCAGTGAAACAACTATGAACCTGCCTAAATTGCCCAAAGATAGGCTGAAATAAAACAGATCAGGCTAAACCCTTCGAGATCACGACTGCGAAGGTCACAGTGAGAAGATAGCTTTTACGGCTAACGGTTAAAATGTTGGCCATTTTGCAGCGAACGGTTTTCAAATGTCTTTCCGAACCGGTTATTAAAATTATTTTTAACGTATTTAAAATTATGTTTAAAAGTCTATAATTAATAGCCATTGATCTGAAACGCATTCACTTAAGCTTTAGAACATTCACTGTAGCTTTAGAGGAAAGCAATAAGGGTAATTCCTAATGGAGCTGCTGTTGGGTTGATCCGGTGCAATGTTCTTTTTTCTTGCTGATTTTCATTTGGTGGCAGAGTTTCAGGTAAAATAACACTCGCTCGTACTTTTTCGCGTGATCGTTTAGGCTAAGAAAATCGATCAGATTTCTCTTGAATGCTGAATAGAGCGGCGTTCTTCACCGATTTCAATTATTGCCATTACCACCTTGTATATTCCGATTGGCTTCTCCTTCCAAGCTTAATATGAACGTATTATGCCTTTAAGCTCAGCCACTCCCTACATTCTGCATGAAAAAACTAGAGATCATGAAACACACTGGTCACCTGTCTATAAACTTATTCCACGTGCGAAAAGAAGAACCTGTTTGCCAAATAAATATAATTCCGAGGGATCTTAGCCAAATTAAATGTCTTTGTTTTCGTTATAGTGGTCAGGGCCGTAGCTAGCTTGAGGCAAGACGAGGCAATTGCCTCGTCTTGATTTTCGTCTTTTTTTTTCAGAATGAACGTTTAATTGAGAAAGTAACCCCCAGAAAAAAATCGGATTGGCTAGAAGAGCATTTCTGAGCCTCTAGATTTCAAAATTTTCAGGGTGGCATGCCCCCAGAACCTCTAGCGGCTCGCGCCTACGGTGCTCGAAACTTGCCTCGTCTTGTTCTGAAGTCTGGCTACGGCCCTGGTAGGGTTATACACACCGTCTAACCGCATTAGCCGCAGTACAAGACCCGTTTCAGCGTAAAATTTGGACAGTTCCAAAAATGACACATCGTCTCATATATTTTGCAAAGATAAATGAAAACACCATTCCTCTGTTTAATAAAGTTAAATTTCTACCTCAACCCATTTTGTATAGTAAAAATTTATCTGAATTGATGCACGATGTTAACATTGCCTCAGATTCAATGAACATACGTAGTTTGCGGAAAAATCATAAACTCATTCTACAACGAACGTTTTTCTACTTCTAATAATATTTTTCTAAAAACCCTCAAACATTTTTGTACAAAAAAGTCCTTTCTTAAGAATCTGCGTCAGACTATGAAATGATGTTGCATGCTCTCTGAGGGAGCTACGTACTAAAAAAATCACTCAAATTTAAATTTTAAAAAAATATACTGCCTAGTATTTTCGAAATAGAAAATTGCCCTTTCTACGCACACAAGATCATCGCAAAAGTGCGATTTTCGAGTCATCAATAACATCTATAAAATACTAGACGACCATGAGCTAAATATCGCGATTTCTGCCGTGCATCATTTCCAATTACTTGAGATCATCCTCTAAGTACCTCTCATAAATGAATGCAGAGGCACTGCACATGAACTATTTACCTTCGAGTTTAGGATTTATCATCTGTATTTTCATTCTTGATTTTCTAAGCGAGTGATCCTCGCTAACATTACGAGTGAGAATACTTCTAGATAACATAGTTTGGTGGTTCGTGACTAACATTAAAACACATCAATTGTATTTCAAATGATTATGATAAAGAAATTTATACGCGCGCTCTGATTGGCCATAAAACCATTTTACATGAGCGTATGTAAACACGGTTTTCACGCTGAATCTTCTCGCGGAGTTCTCCCTGCTATTTATTTAGCAGTAACACAGTTTCTTTAAGTTTCGTTTTGAGTACAGTAATGGAAGAAGAAGATCTTCCTAATTTTTCTTTGGAGTTTAATTTTCCCAGTATTCAAGACACGGCCGAAAAGCCAAATGAACAACAACAACAAGCACGTCGCTTTCCTTCGTTGTAAGAAGAGGCTCTTTCATTAGTTATTTTATAAAAGAAATGTAAAATGGTTTCCGTGTTTACATACCCTGATGTAAACACGCGGAAGGTTGGGAGAACACTCGATAAGCTGGAAACCACTCCGCCTCGCGTCGTGGTTTCCTACGCTTATCGAGTGTTCTCCCAACCTCCCGCGTGTTTACATCAGGCTATGTAAACACGGAAACCATTTTACATTTCTTCAGTGGAACATACTTAAGCTCTTATGAACATGGATTTAAGGGTTTATTTATGAATCCTCCTATTACGAGAAGTGGATTTGCTTCAAATTCAGTCTGCGCCACAGTAGCGCATAGCACAACGTGATAGCTGATGAAGTTTGTAGATGTAGTAAGATCCACAGTTTTTCACACCAATTACTGTTGGGTCCTTGCAACGGTTATTATAAGCACGAAAGCATACCGTCCTGTCAACTTCACCATCTTCCACTGAAGGATGAGAACCATTCAACCAGCCTGGGTTTACTGTACCACATCTGCGTAATGGCACAAGATTAGTTGGCATTTTTGTTCCTGCAGCTCTCACAAAACGATACCATCCCACATAGAGTTTGTCGTCACACAAACTAGCTGATCTTTTGTAACTGCTCTTTCTATTGGCATCGCTTAAGTTCTTGTAATTATTGCAGTGTTCGGCTACAAAGTCAAAGAAATATAAATTATTAATTTGAATTATTGACGCTAAAATTGTAACTTAATTGCAAGAGTCTCATAAGGTTAAGGGTTTTAAAAGCTTCATAAGTTCCTCTGACATTAATATAACTGGGTGCGAGGCTTCTGAACCTTTGAAAAATTATCAGGAGTAAACCTCCACCCCTCCCTTTTCTGTAACACTGATTTTATATTCTTTGCATGTTCTATCACCTCGTTTTGAACCTTTCGCCATGTAATATCTGTCCTTGTTCTTGACAAAGTCCTCTGGTCTGGCTTCTTTAGTTCGGTTGTTTAACTCGCATATTGCAATGAACATAACGACGTTGTAGCTTTGACATCTGACATCAGCAAGACAAGCGTCTCTGCATTCCAGAGTACCTGGTGCAGTCTTGAACGTCTTGTAAGTGTGGCCCTTGAGCATCATTTGGTAAATCGAGTATAAGTCGCCGCCAGCTCCACAATTCTGACTGGCATTGTCACGGAACAGTTGAGAAATGAAATATAGCACGGTAAAAAATGAAGCTTGGCGACCAGCTATGAGAAGCATATCAGATTTATGACTCCTGTGAAGACAAGATGAACATTTGTAATGTTTTATTTAAGGACCTTTTTGGGAAAAAAAATCTCTTAAAAGGTTATTGAAGAAAAACGAAATTTTGTCGCTTTAAAATCCGCCTTCCCTCCCTCTCCTTTTGTAGTTTTAATTTTTACTGATCAGTTTGCGGGAAAAATGAGAAACTGCTTGGAAACGTCAGTTACTTTGACGGCTTGTAAAAGATTTTAAGTATAGGAAATAAAACAATTTCGATTGTGATTTAGTGGAGGATAATTTTTTCTATGACATCAAAAATTGCTCAAGCTCGTGAGGCGAGTGCAATTTGTAGTCTTGAAAATTTACATTTCTTGAAATCGGTAGTCTCACCTGTTTCGTCATCCATTCAAAAACTAATCACCTTTTAAAAATTTGGTGACGAGAAAATGCTACCTTTATAGGAAATTGGGCTTCACACATTACTAAAGATCGATAATAATTGTATATTGTAACGTCCGGTTAGAACTTTAGTATCTGTAGTTTCCTTTACTTTAGTGCCTATTAAACTTTTTTCAGGAAAAAGAGAACTACAATTAATGGGGAACGGGTTTTCACTTAACTTTTTCAGACATCAGTTTTAATTTGTAAAATAGATTGTACAATAAACTGCGGCATTACACGTACCTGGTTAAAACTACTCGTTGTTTCTAAAAGAAAGTCCCATTGGTTTTCTCTTGAGGTGTGAAGCACTTTTGTTCAGAGCAGGTTGCCAACGGCCAACTGAACCTGAAAGGTTGATTAGGGGGAATAATATTACACCACAGACGACCTCGTAGCAGATTATGAGCCATTGTCCTTCCACAAATTGGTACATCTTCGTTGTATCAGCGGGATTCTATTGGAAACCGTTATTATTCTTCTCAAACTAGACTTTGTTATGTTTTACGGCCAATTGGAACTGAAATGATGTTTAGGGAGGAATTATATTACGCCACGAACAAACTCTTGCAGATAATTAGCCACTATCCTTAATTCCTTACAGTGGTGCATCTTTGTTGGATCAGTGGGATGCTATGGTATTCAGTTAAGTTTTTCTCCCACTGGGTTCTGCTGTGTTTAATGGCCAACAGGAGCTGAATTGATGTCTTTATGAATCATTTAGTAACGTTGAGCTTCCGCAGTATTTTTAGAACAATTTGAACACAAACATCTCAGAGATTAATCTTTATTTTTCGATGTTCAGGTGGCCAATTCAATATTTCTTTCTTTGTCAAGTAGCATCAATCCATCAAGGAGTATTTTCAGTAGAAACGTAACTATTAAAGTCACAAGGAGTACATCCAAAATAAATGCTGTTGTATAAAAACGAGGCGAGAGCTATCGCAATTGAGACTATCTTGGGTTTGGGTGTATTATTATGTTGACACTCAGATACCGATGTAGCTTTCGTAGTAATTTTGTCGTTCTATTTCATACTCGCGTGCTTAACGCCTTCTGGAGGACAAAAGATGTTTTCAAACTGAAGGTCATTCTAATTGCAACGGCAGGGTAGGCGAATGTTGTGTTGGAAATCTCTCGAATAAATCTCATTAATGTTTTATCATTTCAATGCTATTTTAGACGACTGGATTAGAAACTTTTTGAAATGGGTCCAATTTCATTTCTTTATGTCGGTTTTGCTACAAGAGTAACTTTAATTTCAGAAAACATCTGAGGCGATAGAATTTTTTAAAAAAATTTGCTATTTTACATAACAAAATCGCGGGCATTTTAACACCTGCAATTTTGAGTAAACGAACTCAGTCCCTAGCCTCATGAATGAATTAGTTTCACTAGGATATCACAAAACTGTTTAAGGATAAAATCCACGATATTCGATATATTTTTCAAATCTTTGAAGAATTTATTTATATTTAATTTTATGGTGGTCAATCTTGTGACATTTATCCATCGTTGTTCGATGAAATCCAGTTAACTCATCAATTGTTGCAAAAGGAAGAGTTCCGGAGATGGTTATTTTACCAATGAAAAATCCTTTATCGCCTTGTACTGAAGTGGACACAATTTTTCTTAAAATAAATGCTCATTAGGAGTATTTAGTGATAACGGAAGGGGTGGATTGTTTTCTGAAATTTTCAAAGTAATAAAATGGTTCTGGTCATTAAGGGGTTGGCGTGATTGCAAGATACCGTATTTCTTCACCTATAAGCCGAGCGATTTTTTCAGTATTTGACACAAAAGTTTGGGAGATATTTTTACAAGAGAAGGGGTTTGGCTTATAGCCGAAGGTTTGGGATTAAAAAACAAATACAAATTTAATGTTAATGCGAAATGACCGTAGATTCCGTGACTGCAGCGCTCTTTATGTGACATGCTTTAAAATTGTCATGAAAACAACGTATTTCTGAACACCAATCAGATTCTTTGCTTCCTGCGCATTGAAGACGATCTCACTCAACTCGGCAAAAACCCTTCTCATTTCACATTACAAATGAAATACTAGGTCTCTCTGCTGTGAAAACCACTCCATCGTTTGCTCTTCTAGTTCGGGACACCTGGGAGTGAAACGGCCCATTTTTGCATGTTTTGCCGAAAGAATAGTCGCCTGGTCTCTTCTCTAGCGTCGCACTCTGGACTCGCTAAGTGCATAATCTCGAGCGATTTCCAAGCTGTTTTCTACTAATTAAATTGATTAATAAATTAAATTAAAACGACCTTCGCCTCTCAAGAAGCCGTTAAACAAGCCAATAACAGAATTAATCTTAAAGGTACAATTTCCTCGATTGTGATTGGTTTTAAAAAAATCATATTTTCACTGATTTACTTGTCAAGTTGCTATCGGACAGTTTGTCATCGGACAGGGTTATTGATTGATATCAACTGAGTTGATAACGTAAATTGGCCATCGTAAAGAGTTTGAAAGCTGACGTTTCGTGCGGTAGCTCTTCGTCAGAGCACTGTTAGTAGACAGTTCAATAAGCCTATCACATTCAAAGTTATAGTTTAAATCAACCAATTAATCAAACAGTTGAACACTTCACGCCTCCTATGTCAGTCTTTTTATGCAAATTTTCCCTTTCTTTCACAACTTGACTACTCTTTCGTATGACTACAGACCTAATTGGACTCCACTCAGTTCTATCACATTTACCAAAATGATTATTACAGATTACTAACCTACGGTTGCATCGAGGTTCAAATATCATCATTTTAAGACAGTTCAGTTCTATCCCGATAGTTTTAGCCTGGTTTGTTTTATCTAGCCTATCTTTTGGACGAAGTTAAGTTGATTCTAAATGGTTGCGAATTTTGTGTGTGATCCCGCGAAAATTTTATCAAAAAATGCCAGTTTTTTAATCGGTAAGCTGCGATCTTATTTTAAGACATGTTAGATTATCATGGCAGAGCTCCAGCCAATCACCATACTGCAATCGAGTTTACCTTTGAAGCACCGATAGTAAAAAAAATTCTTACTCCGCAGTAAGAGGAATATTTTATGACTTTTGTTTATCTTATTTTGGAAATAGTGCTTGAGTAGCGAAATTGAACAGACGCTTTATGATTATTCACGACTGAGAAAGCCTTTAAGAACCTCTCACAATGGACTGAACTCAAGCGCCATCTATGTTAAAATTATTTTTACACTTGCAAGATGTAAAATAGTCTTTACTGCCTGATTACAGGTTAGCGGAGGACACATTTGATTTGCTCATTGTGTTTTTCAATCAAGAGAGAGATGACAGTTCACACAGATGCATTGTAATACGACAGCAGTGTAAGTGACCGTGGTATCACAACTCTTTGTTTGTTAACCAATGTTGTCTGCTGTGGACTAATTCCAAAAAAAAATCCTTTGTTTTCCGAACCAAAACAACAGTTTGAAGTGGTCAATGTAGGAAAGATAAAGCTGAAAGATTTCCTTACATAATTAATTTACTTTTTTTTTTGTTGATAAATTAGAAGCCTACTAGAGAGTTCTCCTAGTAAGTGAAGGTAGGAGATTACAAAAAGCAGCACAAACTGTAAATAGTTTATCAGCAAGAGGCACAAGTGGTATAGGCAGATTTTTTTACAGGTCCATTTTGGCAGTTGACTTTCTTTCCCTCATTGCAATTTCAGTATTTTAGTTTCTCGGCGAAAGATTTCAAAATATTTCATATCACCATTAGACGGCCAAAGTTGGAAATCCAACAAATATGTAGATCACGGACAGAACATGCCGGGTACAACTGTTGCTTGATTCTCACGTCGCGCAGTTTAAACAGGCTATCCTTAAATGAGTTTTAGATATTTTTCAAATAATGTAATGATTTCCGTCAGGTGGTGGTAACTGTAAAGTCCCAAAAATCAGCAAAAGGCTAGTACATTCGTGAGTTCGCCTGCTTTTCCAGTTCATTGAGACACATACGAGCAAAGTCCCGAACGTCAATTGATCACCATCGCGCTAACGGTTTCGAAGGACGCAACCACGCGAACAGGTATGCCTCAACGTTTGCTCAAAGGACATCGTGCGCGAGCTTGTTTCAGTAAATACGTCCAGAAATACCGTCAATACTTATTTTAGCGATAAATTTGGCCTATCATGGCAGCGCTCCAGACAATCACCATACTGCAATCGAGTTTACCTTTGAAGCACTGATAGTAAAAAAAAATTCTCACTCCACGGTAAGAGGAATATTTTTTGGCTTTTGTTTTTCTTATTTTGGAAATAGTGCTTAAGAAGCGAAATTGAACAGACGCTTTATGATTATTCACGACTGAGAAAGCCTTTAAGAACCTCTCACAATGGAACTCATGCGCCATCTATGTTAAAATTATTTTTACACTTACAAGATGCAAAATAGTCTTTATTGCCTGATTGCAGGTTAGTGGAGGAGACATTTGATTTGCTTATTGTGTTTTTCAATCAAGAGAGATATGACAGTTCGCACAGATGCATTGTAATACGGCAGCAGTGTAAGCGACTGTGGTATCACAACTCTCTGTTTGTTAACCAATGTTGTCTGCTGTGGACT